TGACACTGAGACCTTGTGTTTTCTCCGCCCTTCTTTTCGCCTCCTGTTGGAAGAGTGACCTTCAAAATCTGGGCAGAGCAGCAGTCACTTCTTATCCTTCCTTTTAGTATAAAAATGTATCTTTCAAAGCATCTTTGTGGCTTTTTCCTCTCTCAATCAATGACATCTCAATCTATTACAAACTCTTAAAATACATCTTTGTACCTGCTGTGTTGCACTTTAGCCCCCTAGCCACTCTCATTTACAAGGTGTCAAATACTGATGCTTTTGTCATGGCCATATTCCCAACATATCTAAGCCGTTTGAAAGCGAATTGTCGGATAGTTTGTTTGGTTTGTGATGGTGTGAATGCTCAAAGGAACTGCACCAAAGAACTGAACTCTGGTCAGCTGAAAAACGAGGGTCTCTGTTGGCTTCCAAGTGCACCTGAGTTCAGTTCACTGTAGGAACGTGTTCCGGACCAAACAAGGGGAGGGAACGAAAATGCAGTGCATTGTGGGTTGAATTTGACTAACTGTTATCGATGTCAAACATGTTTGATGAGTGTGACTAACGTTAGCATTGATAACAACACCAGTGGTAATGTTACATGTGGTTACACATCGCTCCGGTTGATACGCTAGTTTAACCTGACACAGCAGACATGTAACTTTATCTCCATTTTACAGATCAAGATACTGACAAACCGCGCCAAGGGATGCCATTCTTCCATTGTCCTGTTGTGTACTTGTCGGGTCTTAGTGCTGCATTAGGCCGGATGGCAGTAGCCACTGACCGGAGCTATACAGCCCCAACTAGTGGCGGGTGGCTGCGGTACTCAACATTTGACAGGCTTTAGTGCGCTCAACAAAGTGCAGTCTGAAATCAAACCTAACCAAATGACAAATGCAACAATGGTACAACCTCACCACTAAATCGCACATGTGAAAGTCACCTAAAACACAAACAGTTTAAACCTGTCCCAAGATGTTCTCCTAACCTCAACCATGTTGTTTTCTTTGACAAACACTAACCAAACAAGTGTGATATCACAATTTCTTGCGGCGAAAGAAAATTCCATGTCTTCCCTTCAACACAACCTTTGGTGTTTGTATTAGACTCCTGTACATATTTGACGACCTGGGAAGAGAACATTATGGGATACAGTAAGCCTTTCTTTTAAACCCTGATTCGAGAAGAAAGAAAAAAAAGTGTTAAACTCGTATTGAGTTGAATGTTGACTTGAAGCGCCATAGTGGAAATGCTATCTCAGCTGAGGAATCTGACTTTCTATAACACATATCATGTGTCTGTCGACTCTTTTTTTATTCCAAGTATTTGTGGAGGGTGTGATGTGTGTAATAGCACATTCATGTGGTTTGTGTTATTAACGGTGTGGCGGCCATGCCAACTTTCTGCTGATTTACACTCTCGTCTGTGGGAATTGTGCAGATTTTACAAGCAGGTGCGTGCGTGTGTGTGTGTATAGATTTGTATTTATGACCACCGGAGATGTGTGTTAGACACAGCTACTGATAAATTACCTCACTTCTGATTGCTTACATCACAAATCATCCCCACATTATAACCCTTCTGATGCAAATAAGTGGCACTCTGTGTGCGTGTGTGCGTGTGTGCGTGTGTGTGTGTGTGTGCGTGTGTGCGTGCGTGCGTGCGTGCGTGTGTGCGTGTGCGTGTGCGTGTGTGCGTGTGTGCGTGTGTGCGTGTGTGCGTGTGTGTGCGTGTGTGTGCGTGTGTGTGCGTGTGTGTGTGTGTGTGAGTGTGTGTGTGTGTGTGTGTGTGTGCGCGTGCGTGCAAGAGAGAAAGAGAAAAAGAATAATCAGAGGGGCATGAATACATGTGTCTGCAAAATAATGCAAGCTGTTATTTACATTTAAGCTAAATGTGCATTGTGAGTTCATCTATGTGGCACATGCTTGGTATCTGTGTGTGTGTTATGAATGAGTGAGTAAGTGTGTGTGGTAACCCTGTATCGCTGGCGAGCTCATTTCTCTCAGAAATCAAAGTTAAATGGGTCATCTATCATGAGAATATGTGACTGGGACACTTGTCTCTGCCACGTGTGTGTGTGTCTCTGTGTGTGTGAAAATATGCACTCAAATGCAAGGTGTGTGGTGCAAGGGCAGGGTACGCTTCTGCAGCTGTGTGTGCACTCTCCTGTGTGTGTGTGTGTGTGTGTGTGTGTGTGTGTGTGCGCTGCACATGTCTGTGTGTGTGTGTGTGTGTGCACCGTGCACGTGTGTATGTGGCGGCCACTTGTCTTTCTCTGCGCTATGATTAATGGTTTACATTGGGCTGTTCAGCCATGCATGTTTCTTGGTTTATCGTTTTATGCTGTCTCCAATTAAAGCTCCATAACTTGAGTGATGGCTTCACGCCAGTGTCCATCAATAGAGGCCATCAGCAGCCTCATGCATTCAGGATATGGAAGCCACACACTAACTAATATCCTCTTGTGTCAGAGCCAGTGGGCAGTCTCTGCGTGTGTGTGTGTGCGTGTGCGTGTGTGTGTGTGTGAATATGCAGATCACTATTTGTGCGTGCTATGAATGATTCGATTTCACTTGATCTAATTAATAACGTTTTCAACTAAATCTGTTTTTACTTGTTAAAGTCTTATCTTAAAACCTAAATGATTAAATTCTAATTAAATAACAACTTCTTTTTAAATCAATATTAAAATCATCAAGTAATCAATCAATTAATCATCCTGAACAAGTGAAATCTTCTCATCTTAATGCTGTTTCTTTGTTTGTTGATCTTTTTTTGACCTTATCGGGGAAAGCACAACAGAAAAATAATCTGCTTCATTTTTTGCAGTGTGCATGCATTCAGAGTCTTAGCATGTGTGTGTGAAGGTCTGTCTGTTCCAGGGAAGTGGTACATGATATATACATCTGGACGCCTGAAATCGTTCATGCGTGCGCCACACAGGCATGTGCACACCATGCAATATCATTTCACGCAATATTATTTCTCATATAGCTGTAATGACATTAGGCCGATATGTTGATTATACTGTCGGCAAACAGCAGCCTGCTGATTGGGTTAGCATATTACCTTATATCACATCTCTCCATTCATCCCTGTGTTTTCTTTTTATTGCCCTCATTTTTCCAAATCACTTCCCACTTCCTCAGTTTCCTGGGCGAGGTTTCAGGCTATGCAAGCAGGTGATGTGGAGTAATATGATGATTGGAAGGCACAACAGTACAAGAGGGGGGAAAGCTAAAATCCAAGAGCAGCTGTTGTTGCTATATGCAGAACAAAGCCTGGAGAGGATAGCAAAGTGTTAACTTTGGGTGCAAATACAAAGGTTAATAAATATTTAATCACACTGGCAAAAACACAAATGAGCACACACAGTTTGTGTGTTTGATGGTTTTATGGTCTGCATGTGTCTTGGATAACAGATGAATTCACGGTGTGTAGATTGTTGAAAAAAAAAAATGGTGTGATTTAGTGGAGACCCATGAAAAGGTGGAGTGGGGGTGTTGATAGGGAGGCAAGAGTCAGGGAGATATTTCAGAGTGGGCCACTCATATTGTTAGACAGAATGAGATTTCATTTGCAGCTGGGACATTGAATGATGACACCCGTACTGAGTGTCTGTCTCTGTGTTATTGTGTCCACGTGCACGCGCGCGTTAATGACTGAGCGTGTATTTGCACCTAACATACACACAATGTTATCTTGTCCTATATATGCAGTATATTTTTCTACATTCTGTACAAAATGTTTTTCTTCTTCTTGAGGGTCAGTTTGCTCTCTAAAATATGTCTCTAAGTAGTAGAGCTCTGTGCCAAATATCTAAATCACAAGAAAAACACTACAGCTATATATATATATATATATATATATATATATATATATATATCTTCTCCCTGGCCAACGTCTACATACAAACGTACATATGGACTCAACTATAGTTGTCATCATTAACCAGGAGGAAACCAACAAAACACAAAATGCCACAGGCAATATTATGTTGTGGTGAAACACTTTTAGTGATGTCTAGTTCTTAAAACAGCAACAAAGCATGTTGCTACTGTCAGGAAATTTCACTGCAAATACTAATGCTGTTATTCGATATTTGTCCCACGTTGTGCAGGTAATGATTTAGCCATGCATAGTGCACAGTAGGACACGGGCAGTAAATGGAAAAAAGATAACAATAACAATAACTCACATCAGCCTTCTCTAATATATAGGCTGCTTCACCATGCCATTGCTATATGACACTTGAGAAAAATGAACTGTGGTTATCTGGAAATTAAAAAAAGGGACTGATTTAATATTCAGCAGTGGCTGGAGGGGCTGGGGGAAGGGAAAGAAGGCGGACCTTGGGATGGGGGAGGAGGCGGACGCGGTGGAGATGGAGGAAATTAATCAGTGGTATCATCTCCATGGGAGTTTAGCTAACCACCGACCTCAGCACTTTATCAGCCTTGTACTGGAGCTGCTGCCATAACAAACCAAACCCACCATATCACCGTGCATATCCACACAGAGACACACACTCTCTCACTGAGGTCACACTTTTTTTTAGCTTACAAGCCAATCAGTCAAGCCATGTGAAGTCCCATTCTGCTGTTTGTGGGTGTTTTATATATGGGTGCGCATGTGTTAACATATCTGATCAGATGTTACAACGACAGAGGATACTGGCTCTCGTGTCAGTGATGTCACCCTTTGGTCCCTGAAGTAGCCCTATTAAGCCCAACCAGGAAGTCACCATATTCCAAATGCTATCTCCACCTAACTTTCGAGCAGACAGGCAAAGAGGTAGAGTGGAGGTCGGCCTCACGACTCCAGGTAGTCCTCTGCTCTAATGGGGTCGCAGGAATCTTGGAGGGAAAAGGGGCCACACTGGAGATTGCTGTGTTGATTACTGTGTGTTCATACCTAGAACATTCAATCAGAATGAGCCTCATATCGTTTTTTATTATTTATTTTTTTTTATTTTGTTTTCTGAATTTGAATCGTTCAATTTGTCCCAGGCCGAGGTAAAAATGGCGTCTTTGAGGGCCGAGCGCAGCACTGCATTTGAAAGACGGATGGAGGAGAGAGAGGAGAGGATAAACCAACTCAATGAAGAGCTGAATGGAGTAAGACGAACGGTAAGATTGCAGACATACACACACACACAAATGCTTCAAATGTATTTTTAGTGTTTCCTGTCATTGCGCATTACCATAGTTACTGCTTACCCAATAACTATATGTTTATGTTTAAGTGGGCTGGAAAGTGCTTGATAGTTTTCCCATGTCGATTTAGGGATTTTTTTTTTACCAAGCACACAAATTCACAAATGAATGTATAATATCCAAAATCTTTAAAACAAATTAAAAATTGTATTACATTGTTAAGCTTCAGCTAACATTATTGGTTGACCCCTGGGGCTGTAATTTCACTTTACTATCATAAAGCTTCAATCAGTTTTTCCACCCATCTTATTTGTACCCTTTGAGTTGTGCAGATTACAAATTCTGCGGGAGCCTTTTGAGCCGTACTTCTGATTCAAAGGCACAGCGGCCCATTGAGGCACGAACACCGCTAGAAATACACACACCAAACACACAAGTACACACCACTTGATCTACATATCATTATGCTTTTGATAGAATGCCAAGGTTTCGCTGAGAAAGACATCAGAGTCAAATGGAGCGCACATGTACACAACACCTGTAGGATTTGTGTGTGTGTGTGTGTGTGTGTGTGCCTGTGTGAGAGGCAGCTGTGAAATCTGCACCTGTTTAATTGAATTAGCCTCGTTAATGTATTCACATTGGCTGCCAAAAAAGCGTGCCTTTAACGAGCTCGTTAGACCAATTAGTTAATTAATTGTCTGTACAGCAGCGGCTTCCCAAAGAGCTGCGTCTTCATTATCTGATGGCTGCCGCCTGTTGGATCATTGAAAGGGAGCTGATAATGCATTGCTGTCATACATGCTGTGGGTGCACGTGTGTCTCCTTATACGTCACATATTTCCAAATATATATATATGTGTGTGTGTGTGTGTGTGTGTGTGTGTGTGTGTGTGTATAGACGGTCCACATGGGGTGTGCTTTTTGGTGCACACAGGCACATACACATGTTGTGCTGCATGCACACTTGTGTATGTGCATCCATCAGTCTCTGTGTGGTATACTGAGAATATGGTGGCCAATATCAGTGTGCATATTGCAGTGAAAGGTTATGTGGGGGCCGTCGCTCCCACAGGTAAAGACAGAGCAGTCCTCCAAGCCACTTTCTAATCTCTCTTTTATTAGAAGTTAATATTTCGCCTGCTCTTTCTCACTCCACACTCCCACCTGCTTAGAAATGTCCTCGCTCCATCTTTTTAATTCAATTATATTAACCAACCATCCCTCTCTCTCTCTCTCTCGCTTTGCCCATAACTCTGTAACTCACATCTCACTCTCACACTCAATCTCTTTTTCTTTTTTTTTTGCTTTCTCTTTCTTCCCATCTCACCCCTCCTTCCTTTGTCCTCAAATGTTCCATTTCTATTCGTAATCCTGGATGGAGGATAGACTTTGGCCAATCAAGGATTTGCACAAGCCGCTCTCCCTTTCTCGGCAAAAACACATGATGGCTTGGAGGAGAGAATAAAGGAAAGGAGAGGGGAGGACGAGAAGGGGAAGGAGGCAGGAAGCTGGAGTTAAGGGGGGAGAGCCCCAGGGGTGAAACTTTAATTGCTAAAGTAATGAGACTTGATCAGATTGAGGTGTCTCTCTCAATAGGGACTCGACTAATATGAAAGTCCAGGGCTTAAGCTCTAATTTGAAATAAAATCTCAAATCTGATAGTCTCTCTTCAGGACTTCCAGCAAAGGTCCCGTACTCCCCCACTGGAGAGTAAATACTTTACACCGACCACAGGGGAACCTTTAATCATCTCTGATGGTGGCAGATTTTCAGATGGGAAAAATCACTTTAATGTATTAATTATGTAACAATATTATGGAGTTCTGAAAGTCAGGGCTGTAAAGACCTTGGGCTATAAGAGGGACTTTGACAGACATTGTAATCTTTCACTGGCTGCTTCATGCACAGGGACTATTCTGTTGGTGGTATTATGCAAAATTCAATATGCTGTTATAGGCTCTTGAGAAATTAGAACTATATAAAAAGATTTACCGGTACTTTTTTGAATTTTTTTTTTTAGACCAGCAAGTAACAGAAAAGTGTATGTCTGACATTTATATCTTAGACATGGACGTAGTGTCTGTAAAGTCATCTGCTGGTTTCTGAAGAGGCATATCGAAGGCCAACGATAGCGGTCGCCATGGAAGAAATCCTATCTCAACCTAACTTTCGATCAATCTAGTTGCACACAGAGAGGTGGAGTTAAGCGGGGCCTTCTTGCAAACACTTACAACATGCCTTCCTGTCCGCTAAATCGGCCATGACCCCAATTATGTAAACAAAAAAAATACTATTTTTATTATGGGACCTAATGGGAATTCCTTTGATTTGGAACAAGCCTCAAGTGGACACTCAAGGAACTGCAGTTTCTGGCATTTCGGCATTAGAGGTTGCTGCTTGGATTTATATGACTAATAATATCTTAAACATTCAAAGTTATTCCAGCAAACACATTATAGAGAATAGTTCATCACTACCTGATCTTCAAGAATCAACATGAGAATAACTACAGTATCTGGAAATGGTCACTCTCCTACTTAAATTGAAGACATTTGACCTTAAGAATAATAAACATAATATGTGTCACTAGCTACCTCTAGTGAAATTACATTTTCATGAAAAAAGTCCTTATTTTACCAGTCATCTGTCGTTGCCCTACTTGTTGTCCTGCAGACCCTTCAGCATGAGGAAACCCATGCTGGCATTGCAGCAATAATCACACACTGCTGCCTCAGCCATTTCATTCTCAGCTTTCTCAGCCAAACACTGCCAGAGTACACAACTTTAATTAAAATGACACTGTATAATTACTTTCTATAATATTTATAACATCCTCCCCCCTTATTTAACCGTGTATGTGCTCATCTTCAGTGTAGTTGAGATCTATCCCTCGCTGCTTACCAAACACGTTAATTTTAAAAACCCTGCGTTGACACCTTAATTAAAATTCTGAAAAATACCATTTTAAAAACTGAAATGTCAAAAACTTTGTGACAACTTTGATTGAAACGAAGGATGCAAGGATTAAAGAAGACTAAAGAGCTGAAGAGTGAGACAAACGTACACAACATGCTTCAGATACATATGTTGTTTCATTCTTCAAGTTCAAATCCATGTTTTGGTACTTTACAAATAATTTAGTGTGTTTCTGGTCTTGAAATGATGAAACCGGTTAACAGTAGATTTTCCTTTCTTATTTTTAATACCTAAAGCTGTACTCCACACAGGTAGAAAGACTTAAATCCTAGAAGCATTACACCTGCTTGATGGCTACCCAAAAGTATTTCAAATACATTATAGTATTACAGTGCCTGAGCCTGCAGTCTTCACATTGCACACTAAACATACTGAAAACTGTCTCTTGAGTTCCTTAAATGTTAAACTGTTCTACAATGAAATTACTAGTTTAGTTGTTAACTTGACTTCCATAAAGGGCCACACATAAGTTGAGTGTTTTTTACAAAAAGTAATAAACTGTTAAGACTACGTGATTGGGGTTAATTGTTAAATATAGAACTGTCTGACTGTGTATGCACCTAACCCACCCTGCATGACTTTCATTGAGCAAACTATTTTACTCATCATTCTTCTATTTCACCTTCATTCTTTACAGAAATAACTGAAGAGTGCAAATCTCAAAATATATTTCTGTTTAATTTTGCAAACAAGACCAAATAGAAATGTCACTGATAGATATTCACTTATTCAATTATCCAGTTTGTCAAGCACATGATTTCTTTAAAGTGTCAAAATCATATTGATCAAAAGTGGCATTCAATCAAATATTTTTATATATTGTAGACAATAGGCTATCAATCGGTAATATATTTTTTTGTGTAATAGAATGAGTTGTAGTTATAGGTTAGTACAGTTAAACAGTTACAGTAGCAGACTTTTAGGAGGTTATATGTTCAAATATTTAGAGTCATAATATTTAAAATGCATGGGAAATGTCCTCTTTTTCTTCATCATCATTTTTCATCTGAAGTCCCTCTTGCACTATAGATGAGTTAACACAGAAAAAGACAAACTTCAGCCCACTAATAAAGCATGTTCAACTCGGCTGTTCTAACCATTAGAGTTTCATTTTTTAAAACGTATTTTATTTCCCAACAGTCACACTAAAACTGTTGGAATAGTCGGATAAAGGAGTCATTTTAATTCAGTGTCGCAATACCGGCTGCTCCATTGCTTGTAATTGTTGCCATCCATTAGCCATGGTGCAGATGAGTTAACTGTATTAAAGACTATCTTTAGCTCATGGTTACATTATATTGGATGATACATGTACTGAGGAGTGTGGAGAGCTCACTGAAGCAGGCAGAGGTGTGATGGGTCAGTCTGAGACGTAAGTCCAAAGTCAAGGAGTTAGGAAGACTGCTGAACTGTAATGTACAGTAGATGTACGTGTGTGTGTGTGTGTGTGTGTGTGTGTGTGTGTATGATTATGAATATTTTTTTCTGCATGTGGTGTTCCAGTCTCTCAAACCTTTAACCATCTCGTCTGATTTGTGAAGCTGTGTAATTATGTGTAATTATGTGCACGTGTGTGTGTGTGTGTGTGTGTGTGTGTGTGTGTGTGTGTGTGTGTGTGTATGTATGTAAATTCGTTTGTGAGTGTGTGTTGACTGTCTGCCGAGCCTCCTCACTAATCTAACACAGAGCTCAATAAACACAGTGCTAATGAATAGGGGCTTTGATTTGGCAAGGGGTTCTGAACCAGCGGCCCACACACACTCACATTCATGCATGGGGTGAGGAGTTCAGCCACTGTCTGCTTCCTTGGAAATAAGCAGTCTCTTTCCTACAATTAGAACTCAAGCACCACTGCATGTACAAGAACATCTGTTTATTTATTTTCCTTTTTTTTCTTTTTTTTTTAGAAAACACCAATATAATACGTGTTTAAATCTGAATTTCTTCAAAAAGCGATGTGGGATGTAAGGTACATTTCAAATGCATGAAGTTTAAGATAAGAATCCAAAGTGTTAAAGAGGATTTTAATCAGAGCTACCAAACGATAACAAGTTTCAATCGTGATAATTCCAAAATTTGAACAGTTAATCACAATTAATCACATTTTTTGATCACATGTTTGAAATCCTATTATATCGCATAAAAAAAATGTTTTATTTTGAAATGTGTTACTGTCTTAAGCTGAGTGTACTTTACTTGCTGTTTGCATTCTACCCTGCTTTTATTTTGAAATAAAGTAAGGCCCTTCTGGTAGATGAGAGGTTACCAAAAAAGAGAAAGGTCTGCAAACTGTTCGATGAGCAGCTTTATTTAAACAGGGCAGTGTTTCCATACAAATGATTTTCCTCTGGCCTGATGAAAAGTTCCTCATAATCCTTTTCATGGAAATGTTGCCCTGTTTTAAAACAAAGTCGCTAATTAGGAGATGAACAGTGTGAGCCCTGTCTCTTTTTTTCTGCAGTTTATGATTTTGTTTGTCCAGCATCTAGTGTCCTCCATACATGCTGGAAGGAATGCTTTTATATAAAATCATCTTTAGTAGGGGTGGGAATCAGTGGGTTACAATTTTACATTTTGAAAAACATTTTTACATTTTTTAAAACAAAATTACAAACCCAAAACACTTGTATTAAGGTCACTTCTGGCATTTGGTACATTACCTTTCCGTCAAGATTTTGCCGTTTGTAAGTTTGTCTCAGCGCTTGTAAAAGTGTTTCACATCTTGTAAACGTTTTTTATAAAATGTAAATTTATTTTGTCCTTAATAAAGGTTTTTTTGTTTTTGTATTTTTTTATTATGAAATGTAAAAATGTTTTTCAAAATGTAAATTTGCCTCAAGCTTTGTTAAAGCGATTCACACTTTGTTATTTTGTTTTGCACTTCCCAGCCACCGTACTTAATCTTTTACCCTGCTGTCAACTTCTTTAGTCAATTTACTTCAGTTCACGTTGTCCTGTCATGATCCCGATGGTGAGAAGTCATGGTTAGATCTGCTGTAATAATATTTTGCCCCGCCTCTCATCTTTAGAGCATCTGATGTACACGAGACACTGTCATACTCTTGTACCTATCCAAAGATTTCTAATGTAAAGAAGGAGAGTAAAAAGGGAAAATAATAAGTCTGCGGTTCTGTAGAAGGCTTCAAAGCTTCATATAATGGCAAGAGAACAAGTGTAGGTGTGAAATCAGCTGAAATACCTTAAAGTGAGGGGAAATGTTTTCTGTTCAGGGATAATAATAGTTACTTTGTCAGATTAATGTGAAAACAAGGAAAGACGAATATGATTTCTGACATAATATCAGGTATATGTTATGTGTTTTCAAGTTGTGAAGACATGGTACCGACTGTTCTGTTATCTGTGTGTGTGTGTGTGTGTGTGTGTGTGTGTGTGTGTGTGTGTTTCAGATGAAAGAGAGAGTGGAGCATGTGAGAGACCTGGACCAGGATGTGGTTTGTTTGCGAGCCACACAAGACTCTCTGAAGAGAACCTTGGCCATGAAGGAGAAACACACAAACCAGCTGGTCGGAGACAACGCAGAGCTCAAAGAAGGCCTGGCTTCACTGCAGAGCAAAGTAAGTAACACACACACACACACACACACACACACACACACACACACACACACACACACACACACACACGCACACACACACAGGAGGGGAGCTCCTCTTAAATAAGGACCAGAATCGGGTACCCTTCCCTAAATCAAATCCAGTCAGGTACATCAGGGAATTCTCCTCATTTTTTACTTCCTTCACAGTTAATCATCCGTCCTTCTTCCCCTGCTCCCCCGCCTTCTCTCTCTCGCGCTCTCTCCATATTTAATAACTCATCGCCACCATCTTAGCTCCACTGAGGGTTGGCCCGTTGTACAATAAAAAAAAAAAAAAAAAAAAACATGTCCGTGTGAATACCACTTAGCCAAGAAAGGAACCAGGAGTGGGGGAGGGGCTTCCTTTTTTTGTTTTTATTTCTTTCTCTTGTTCATTCATTATTTTCCAACAAATCTTTCCCTCTTTCTTGTCCTTCTCTCTCTCTCTCATCTCTCTCATCCCTCATCTCTCTGTCCAGTCTTGCCCTTGCCCCAATGAGAACTAAAGGTAATGTATGGGAACATTAAACAGTCATACGCATGATGAATGGAATGGCCTTTAGGTTTCTCTCGTTGTCCTTTTCCTCTCTTTCTTATAATTCTCTCTCTCTCTCTCTCTGTCTTAACTCCCACTGTATTTCTCTCCCCTTCTCTCTCCCCCCTCCCTCTAGCTATATCACAGTGGTGTGTGCTAGTGATGTGTTTAGGCTTAAATTAACCCATTTACTGTGTCCTTGACCAAACCAAGTCATTCATCTGCTGCTGGTGTTTAAGCGGCGCCGCAGCCCGCCAGCAAACTGAACCAAGTACAATCGACATAAAAGCATTTTGGCCTCTTGACTTAAGGAATACTTGAAAGCCCTCTTTAAGGCTGAATTTATGCCCTTACTTTCCCAACACTAACTTCATTTCCCTGTTACATCATTGACTCCATTCATCTACAAGTGCAGGGGCTCACTTTGCATATTTGAGTCACAGGTTTAGTGACAGAAAAATTGTCTCTTTTTTTTCTTTCCCTTTTCTATGCCAACAAAAGGATTTACTCAATAGAGTTTAGACTCTTTCAGTCCCACAGTGAACTATTAATGTGAGGCTAACTTAAACGTGTCACAAAGAATGTAGTGCAGACAAGATGTAAACAATTGTGCTGCTGCCTTTAAAGAAATCTGCTTTTTTTTTTCATGGACACCAGTTATTAAAGGCATATTTTTTATTCTTGTCTGAAGGGGAACTGAGAGAGAAAAAGGGCCGCAGCTCTCTGTGAGTATTGTCCCAAGGTTTTAAAGAAGGAGCTCTATTCTACAGTTTGTGTCATACAACTTTATGATGTGTTGTCAAGCAGTTTTACGGGTCCTGACTCAAAGCAGTAAGTGTAGGGTTCTCCAGCCTGGCACAAAGCCTTTATGATGCTCCTTTTCACTGCTATGGAGACAGAGCGGAGGCAAATGTCCCATTCCCTTCTTTTCCTGCTTTGCACGTTGTTGTCACAGTTCACCCCTTCTCCTCCTCGTGTTGCGTCTCCTCCTCAGGCTCTCTGTCCCTCTCTCGGCTTTTTTGGGGAAGGTTAAAAAAAAAAAAAGAAGAAAACTACAGACTGCACACATTCTTCATCCCTGGCTGTCCTTCTTTCAATTTCTGCTCACTCCTCAGTCACAGGCGGGTGAACGCATGTTAAGGGACATCAGTGACACCCTGGATCAGACCAAAACTGGCCTGCAAACGGAGAGACAGCAGAAGCAGCAGATCCAGGACCAGTTGCACCATGCTAACCGAGAGATGGAGTGTCTGCAGCAGGAACTGAAACATGTGCGTTTCACCACTGAAAAGAAGGTAATTTGACTCTCATCTGCTACCTAAATCCATTTTAAGATAATATCATGGCTGTAACGCTTAAGCAGAGGATGTTACATTAGACCTCCCTCTTGTTGGCCATGTATTGTTTCGCACTTTAACATAATTAGCAAGCGTGCTCGCTCACAAGGTCAAGAAACATTTTCTGCACAAAGTGGACAATGTCAGGAAAAAAAAGAATTGTTAAACAAAGCAACCGAGCAATTTCTACAGGACGGAGATGAAATATAATATTCACTTTAATGTAATGCATTGTCTTTTCCCACAATGGGACTGATAAGAAGGGGTCGCGCAGGTGACGGATTCATTTAAATATTCAATTTTCAAATGTAATATTCACTGTGACAGACATTGTCTATTTCCACAATGGTGCTGATAATAAGGTTTGAGATAGTGGGTAATGGGATGTCCTGATATTTAGAGCCTTATTAAAAAACACACACTTTTGACGAAGACAGACCCGTCCAAAATTATCAATATTCTGCTAAAATGCCTCCCCCCCCAGCTAGGAACACAGTGGAACCACATTCTAATGTTTTTATTTTTCCTGTTTGGACCTACTGTCCTTTACTCCTTCTCAAATATACCGAAGCCATATGTAAATGGTTAATATTTCACATTATTTAACCTTCAATTAACCAAGTTATAGAGATTACTTTTTACCCAGTCAAGAGCTATGATAATAAAAAAAAGGGTGGGGGGGGGGGCAGCACATAAGGTTGAGTATGTTTCTCTTGAAAGCTCCTTCACTCACAAAAGACTTCTCAGAATATCTAAGGGATATAAGGGTCAGGGATTTTTGTCCTTTACTGAATTGTTACATAAGATTTCCAGTCTTTCATTGGATACACTACATACTCCAAAGCTCATGAAATGTGGCTGTAAGAGACTTTTTTAATTTTTTTTTTTTTACCTCTTGTCATTAACTTTGGATCAACACGGTTATTGTTCTGCAGGATGGGGTTAAACCGTTGCATCATCATCAAGTGCTGTGCAACTGTTTCAAAGCAATCATACGTTTCATTTTGCTTTCTTGTGTGGGTTTGCATTTGCAGCCAGCTTTACTGTACGCCTTTGTGCATGTTTCGGTGTGTGCACATGTGCAACACAGTGTCTTTCATGTTCCGATTGGTTAAGTCAACGGTCGGACCATTACACTGTGTCCAGGGATCTGGTTTCTGGCCCACATCTGGCCCTGCTTTATGCACCAAATATGTTCTGTCTCTGATCTATTACAAGCTCTCTCTCTCTCTCACACACACACCCACACATGGACTCACACACAATTACAGCTTTGCATTAACTCATGCACACTTCATTTAATCGTCGTATGGACAGTGGTAGCAGTAGGTGTGTGTAGTAGAGAGTGAGCGTGCCTGCTCCCACTTGAACATAAGTGAAACTGAGGGAACTTTGTGTTAAGTATTTTTCTTTTCAGCTCTAAATGTGCTAACATTAGCACAGCTGAACAAATACTGTCAAAACTCTCCTCTTCATCTGAAATCTGATCCACGTATTCCCTCTCCCTCTTACTCTAACCCGCTCTCAGTCAGGCATCTTTGCGCATGAGAATAGAACAGCAGTTTACCTTTTCTTTAAGGAGCAAGTTGTCCATGCACTATGTTTCCAGATCCTTTTTTTTTAAGACTGCTGGGAAGAAGTCTAAGGAAACTGTGCTTAGACTTCTGATTTCACTCAACAACAGTATCTTTAAGCATTGTCTATCATTCATTTCACACCAGTTCTGTAAGTGTCTAATCTAATATGTTTGGAAGAAAGGAAGGAAAAAAGGAAGAGTGCAATGTCAAAATAAATCTTATTAGCAATGTGAAGCCAGTGAAATAGTTTGTAAAACACTTAATCAAGTTTAATCCATATAGATAAAAATCTAATTGTTATTAAATCAAGTCACTGTTTCACTTCCTCCCTGTTGCCAGAAATCATTTCTGAAATTATTTCAGAAATCATCATTCTGAAACCTCTGTCTTTATTTGATGTCCACAGTGGAAGGCCAAAATATCTATTAAAGGCTACAACCAATCAGAGCAGTAGTACATGTGATGTAACAGTTTGATGCTATCCAAGTGGGCTCATTCCAAAATCAAATTATAATGACATCATCACAAATGTTTAGCATTAAGTGATCTAGTATCTAAACGTGGCAATCCAGAAGTATTGATAAAGCACATTTCAAAACAACAAAAAGATGACCACAGTGCTTTACAAGCTAACATAAAAACTTAACAAAACACAGACTGATGTGAAAACAGCAGGACATATGAAACAATCATGGCTGTCCAGTTTGTTTATTAATGATGGGATTGTTGGACATCACATTCAGCCTTTTTTCTTAAAAGAATGCCTCAGTAGCTTGAGAGATAGGACGGATGATAGAGTCGGGAATCAGGGACAAAGAGAGTGGGAAAGGAGCAACAGGTCGGAATTGAACCCAGGATGCCCGCTTCGAGGACTACACTCATTTATATATATGGTCACTCGACCATTGGCGCCCCAGAATCTTCCTCATTGTCTTTTCATTAATCTTGATCCCTATTTACTTGTTCTCTATATTAAAACAATAATAGTCCCCTCAATCTCACTGACACACACACACACATCATCATGGAACCAGATGTTGCAACAGTTTTAAACATGTGGTATAAGTGTTGAAGGGCTTTAACCCCCCCCCATTGAGAAACTTGAAAGAAAGGAAGCCATTAACAAGACAAGGGGCTTTGTCTTAGAGATCATCTGCTTCATCTTCTCAGAAACAAAATACACATGCAGAACTTCAAGACCAAAAAAAAATGCAGGTCATAAATGTACATAGGAGGGAGAAAAGGAAGGCGAGGGATGGATGGAGGTATGAAGTAAAAGCAACAAAAGAGAGGTATGAAGGATAGAGATACTTTGTGATCCAGATCGGAGCTCGTCAAGGAATCAAATCTGCATAAAAAAACATTCAGATAAAAAGGTTTTAAATGTGTGCTTAAAAAGACAGAAAGAGTACCGGAAGTTTTGAGTTTTTTTTCCCCTCATTGTGTCGTTTCAGAAAAGCTCCATTTGTGTCTCATTTATGGAGTTAAAAGCATGAAAGATGCAGCGTGAAAAAAAAAAAAAAAAAAAGATCCTGCGAGTGTGATTCTCGATCATTTAGTTTATTGTTAACTCTCCAGCATTGTGTTTCTCCTGCTGAGTTTAAACGTATCCTCTCATCTCTCTGTTACAGAGTGCATTGGAGACAATTATTCAAATAGCTTATTATCTGAAAATGGACATGGGGAAGTGAGAAAGCAAACAAGAGAAAGAAAAAGAAGTCAGAAAAAGTCAACATGGGAAGGTAGCTGAGCAGAAATGTGTGGCGTCGTTGAAGCCTTAAAGGTTGAACTTGGACAAACATCGCTCGTGCTCACAATGCTTCACACAACCATCAGAATAGCTCACTGATTTTTTTATTTTTTTTTGCTTTCTCTCTTGATCGCCCTTATTGCTCGTTGCTTTTCTTGCCTTGCCACTTCTCACTTTCATCCCTCCTCTGTCTCCGCTCCCCCTCCACCACCCCCCACCCCCAACTGTTCAAATATTATTTCTCCCCCTTCTGTCGTCCTCTCCCCCCCTCTTTTTTTTCTTTCTCTCTCCTCCCTCTCTTTATCTTGTCATTGCCTGTCAGTAGGGATTCTATCGGCGCTGAGTGTTGTGTGCGTGCGTATCTGTGAACACATTGAGACTGAGATACACTTAAGAGCTCATTGATTTAAAAATACCTTCGATATTGGAGGTCCCCTCCTGCAGATCCGTTCAGAAGCTTATCACACACACACACACACACACACACACATAGACATCCACGTAGAGATATGCATAAACCAAAGCTCCACTCCAAAGTTTCTCCTTAAACTTTGTGATTGACCTAGTTAGTGTGTCGTTTTGACAAGTTGTCTGTTTTGACACGACATCCTCGGGTGTTTATCAACATCCATTCTGCCTATCACACTTTCACATGGGGAATTCACACACACACATATATTCACTTTAAAGCTAAATCAAGCTCAGACTCAGGGCAGGAAGTGAGTATTATGTTTGCTATGGGTAAGTGAATTGTCTTGATTTTGTGGTCATTCTTTTTTAACGCTTTGATTTTTTTTTTTTCTATTTCATCCAAAGTCCATAAATGCAAAACACAATCCGCGTTACTGATGTCCGAGCGACTACCTATAAGAAGAACGCTCTGAGAGTGTTTCTATAGGCGATCATTTGTGATTTAGCTGCTATGTTTTCTATGTTGTTGTTCTTTTTTGTCTTTCTTTTCCCCCCTTTTTTTTTTTTTTTTTTTTGCCATAGCTCAGGTTTAGTGTGTTTAGCGAGCATGGCCGCTGACAGGCAGAGGTGAGAGGTCAAAGAGCCAAGTTAACTCCATCAATCCCCATGGACAGTTACAAACGAGCCCTCAACTCTGGCCAAAACAATCCCTGGATCATGCAGGAGGCAGCGAGGGAGGGAGAGAGGGAGGGAGGGAGGGGGCGAGAGCGAGGGAACATTTTACTCAGTTTGACACGAGGAGCTGTTATGTTTATGTGTAAAACTGAAGAAAAAAAAAGAATACACCAAAATTGCCTTTATTTTTGTAAATATCATAGTCATTAATGTGAAGTCCTTACATGATATATTTTATGTGATTGATTTCTATTGTTCAGAAATGAGACTGCCTCTTTATTTGATATTTTTTTGGTTTTCCTATTAACATCATAAAACTTCAAGAAAAGCCCTGAGTATTTGAGTCAGACAATATTGAAACACAAGTGCTTATAAAAATATTTTTTAGTAACTTAATCAGCTCAAAACTGTCTGCACGTAACAGCAGTTACTTTTCCATTTGGACTGACCCGGACACAGAGAACAACCTTGACGAGATTCAGACTCTGTGAACAAACACAGAGGGGATAAAAACAGTCAAAAAACATTTCCTCACAAAACCTGTGAGGAATCACACCCACATGAAAGCACGTGCACAAACACACACACACACACACACACACACACGCACACACATTTGGCAGAGAATAGAAGTGGGTAATTAGGAGAGGTCACCAAGGGAACAGACAAACACAAGCGATTGTCAGACACACTGTATACTCATGAGAAGCGTACACACAAGCGTTTCTCTCTGTACGTATCCTCACCCACCCACCGCCAGCGTTACCTAAACACAAATATATGAAAACAAGTCTGAATATTTTATCTCAAGTTTTGTAAACAAGGACCCGAGTTCCTCTGTTTTCAGAGATGCAGCTTGTTAAGATATGATTCACTGCATTTTTTTTTCAAAAATAACATCAAAAAGGACGCTACAGCATCGTCCAACAACAACAGCATAAACCGGATAATATATGTTTTTTTTAATATTTATTCCAGAGCCACAAGAAGGACAATAAGATATGTGCGCTGGTGAAAGCGCTCACAGAGAGTGAGAGGCTCCACTCTGAATGTCAGAAAGAGGTAAAAACAACTTCATTATACCCCAAATGTTTTAATCCCCATGATTCCAATTAATGTTAATGATGTTAACTGAATATTTGATTGCTCGTTCCCTTGTCAGATAAATTAAGTTACTGTTATATTCATTTGATAATAGAAACAAAGATCAGAATTTAATTATACTTTTCTTGCATGGCATGTTAATTGGTGAGGAGTACGCTTTGTGATCAAAGAATTACACGTTTTATTACTTGTGCTTATCAGACTTTTATTTAAAGCTATTTTCTCGTTGTCCTAATGTGTGCGGTGCAGTGCTGTGGGAGCGGAGCAATGATTGAGTGGCTTAATTTTATTGCATATTTCCCAGTTGCTCCGACGAGAGAAGGCTTCAGAGAAACTGTGCGAGGAGAGGGATGAGCTTAGAGCCAAGATGGACGACCGGAGCAGGGAGTGTGTCCACCTCAACCAGGCCCAGGAGAGACTGGAGGCTGATTTGGCTCTGAGCCATGAGAAACTCCACACCTTGCACCTGGAGGTCCATCTCTCCCTGTTTCCAAGTGCACGTTGTTTGTGTGTACATGCATGCTTAGGTCAGAGCCATGCGGCAAGATCTCATGGTGATAACCAAATACGGGCTTTAAGTGTGTTCTCTGTGTGTTCAGGTTCGCAGCAGGGATCAGCTCATCCTGCAGTTGAGAGCTGAAATGAAATCAGCAGAACAGAAATACCAGAGCACACAAGAACAGGTGAGGTATCTTTTTGTTTCTGTGTATTTATTTTTCATTTCTCTTTTATTTTCCTCTGACTTTTTGTTTTCCCATTTTGTTTCCAGGTGAAAAAAAAAAAAGTTACATTTATATCTCAGATTTACCTTTTTCTTTGAGAAATGGATAGCTTTTTTTTCTGTTTAACTTCTTTTTCTGGGATTTTTAAATTTGTCTCAAGGCTTAAATTCCTTTCTAGGTAGTACAACACGGATTTTGAACCTGTCTTTTTCTATTTTTTTTTGTTTTTTTTTGCCTTTCATATGTTCAGGCGAGGTTGAGTGAGCACCCTTGTGTTGTTGTTTTTTTTCCCCCTGCAGTGACCTGTTTTACACCCACAGAGTTGCACACATCCACTCGAGGGAAGTGCCCAAACCAGCAGCAGTCTTCTACTGTTTGGCTACCGAGCAGCTCCATTAGAGCAGTGGGAGTTGAAGCTCTTTGCTCAAAGGCTCCTCGAAAGATGCTGCTAAGGAAAAGGGGAATCGTTACTCATTCATGTCTGCTGTGCCCACATTTTCCCAGCTGGTCCTCAGACTAAACTGGGATACTCTCTGACTCAAACCTGATTCCCTCACTTTTTTTTTTCTGTCAGTCTAGGGGGACTTTATATGCTTATCAAGTTTTTCCAATTTCATCCTTTGCAATCTCTCTCTCTCTTTCTCTGTCTTCCTCTTCAGGTGGCAGCACTGGAGGGTGAGGTGAGACGCTTGAAATGCAAGGTCAGAGGACACCAGGATGAGGCCTGTAAGTTAAACCAAAAGGTCAGAGATATCGAGCGCCTTAAGGCCCAGACGGAGAAAGACCAACAGCAGCTCCAAGATCAACTCTGCACTAGTGAGCAACAGGTAAGGAAGACCTCCCTCCTCTCTCCTCTTCACCTTTACTCATCTCCACCTCCACTACAGGTGAAATGTATTGTGAAATCTATAGATCAGAAGAACTCCTGACCTGGAAGCTGTGAAACAGACCTGCGAGATTTGAAGCAGGTTAAAGCAGAACAACTCTGAGCGGAGACAAATTCAGAGCAGGCTGAACTACTGAGAGGTCACAAAGGACAGTTTAAGTCAGCAGCACAAACCCGCAGAACAGTCAAAGTCTTTTGAGCATTGAGTCGTCAGAGAGTGAACCAAAAATCTGAATGTGAGCGGTTAAATCACAGCAGACGATCAAATAGTCTTCTGCAGGAGCGACAAACTACCCATGTGCATCAGACGAAGCTTTTTGTCGCAATTTACATACTGTATGTTGCCTTCTAGATCATCTGTATTAACAAACAAACAAAAGACAGAATGACCTGTTGTTTGTCAGCCTCTCACAGCCAATTGGACGCATTATAAAAGCAGAACGGAAAGATAAAAGAGACACGCGGAGAATTAACTTACTATCATCCAAGGGTCGTCTTGGGTTGTCATGTGTCAGCCATAAATACACAAATAAGCGGCCAAATGAGGGTCAACGCGATGTGTTTTCCATCATGTCTAATGAGGACTGTGTGTTTCTCCAAAGCACAAGCTCCTGATTATGGTCACAAGAAAGCCATGGTATTCCCATTAAGCCTTATTAGAGGACCTTTCATCCAGTGACAGACAGCAAAAACGAAATCAAACGTTGCTACACATTTAAAGGAAAGAAGTACCATTTTTTTAAAAAAGAGCAAGTATCATATGCATCTGAAAATAGATCAAGTTAGCGCCTAGCAACGGACTAAATGAGTGTATTGCATAGTGTGTTTTTTTTCTCCTGTTACCTTGGATAACCTCAGTGAAAAACAATCACCAGCACACTCTCAGTTTTAAGCATTCCACACATACGCTAATACACCTACTCAGGTTGTTCAGATTTTGACTCTAGAGGAGAGAATGAAAGTTGATGGTGCTACTCCACCCTCTCCTCTCCTCTCCTCTCTCTAGTTTGTCTCTTTCTCCCTCTGCATGAGCAATTTTTCCACTCAGTCATGCTGCCTCCTACCCACTGTTATAGTCCTAGATGGGCCCAGCTAATCCCTGGTTAAACCGAGCTGCAGTGAACCGCTGAAATCTAACTAGTTGGCTGTCATTAGCCGTAAAACCCTCATGTTCTGATCCAGATTATAGCCGGATTAACGTGGATGAACTCAAACTGAGTGTTGGGAGCGGGTTTAACTTTCCCAACCTCTCCGCTTGAAAGGTGAGCCACGGTAGGATTCCTTGTGTAACACCCAGATTAAGCTCGGTTTCACTTCCTGGGTTCCCCCCTTTCATTATCGGGCGAGGATATTGTGGAGCAGCACGTTATATTAGACAAACTAGCACGTGTCTGTCTTTCACTTTTTTCAGCCAACCTTCAATCAAGAAGAGGCATCATGTCAAGTGTTCTGTTTGGTTATTTAGTGCTATGGCAATGAGACTGAGAGTTGCATCTTTTAAGTGTTTCTCCAAGTTTATTTATTCCTATGTTTCAGAGCTTTATTGTCATTTTCTCGATTAAATAAATCAGTTGAAGTTTTCAGAAAATTTCAGAAAGGGCCCCTATAAGTACGGGAAGTAAAACCCTCCTTGAAATGAAACCGTCTTTCGGTCACTCTAGCAATCCTCACAGATTTAAAACTAAACTAAGGAGCACAGTTTTTTTTTCTTTCTTGTCACTATTTATGCTTCACTTCACTGTCTTTGCCTTCAGGTGCAGACATTTGAAGGGAAGCTCAAGAAGCAGGAGGCTGAGATGGAACTTCTTCAACAGCAGCTAAAAGGAGCCGAGGAGGCGCTGAAAGATGCCGGTTCACAAAAAGAAACGGTCTCCGTTTTTAAACAGAAGTACACTGCAGCTATAGAGAAGGTGCATAGGGTGCAAGGGCGGGTGGAACTCTTGGAAGAGGAGCTACGGTATTCACAACAACAGGTAGATCATAGTTTACAGTGGTTATGCAAGGTGGCATATTAACACTGTTGCATTCATAGCTTCATTCCTGAATGTGAAGGTGCAGTCCACAATTCTGCCATTTGTCTTTACTCACAATGTCAAATCTCACAGCTAACAGACTCCAGATCAGCAACTCATTCTGTGAAGCAAGAGCTAGCAGAGATGATGCAGAGGCACCAGGAAAAGGTTGGCCAATGGGAATACTCGCAGGAGGCTCTTGACCAGCTGACGGATGAGCTCCAGGTCAATCAGAATCTACTGAGAGAGAGTCGGCAAGAAGTGGACCATCTTAGAGGCCTGATAGGATCCGTGCAGGAGCAGGTGGACACACTGAAACAACAGGTTAGGAGAAGACTGTACATATCACAGTGGTGTATGTAGACATGAGGATAACACTGAACACAAAAACTCATGATGACACGCCCTAACCTGATTTCAACCAGGGATTTCTTTCATTTCAACATTTATAACACGTGAATGGGTGGCTGTGGCTCAGCTAGTAGAGTCTGTCGTCTCTCCATTGGAAGGTCGGGGGTTTGATCCCCAGCTCCTGCAGCCACATGTCCGATGTGCCCTTGGGCAAGACACTTCTACCAAATTTGCTCCCACTGCTTCGTCGCCAGCGTATGAATTTGTGTGAATGGGATGAGTTACTTCTGATGGTCACTTTACATAGCAACCTCTACCATCAGTGTGTGAATGTGTAGGTGTGACATGCGGTGTAGAAGTGCTTTGAGTGGTCAGAAGACTAGAAAAGCGCTATATAAGCTCAAGTCCATTTACCATTTACCATGAAAAACTTGTGTTAATGTTAATTCCATGTATGTAACTTAATATCTCCAAGTAACAAGTCATTAATGAGGTCACTTTTCAGATGCTCAGTGGGAACATAGGCTGTGTGACGATGACCAGACCTGCGTCTGATCTCAACATCAGAAACGTTTTCTTCCTTTGATTGTTGCTCCTGTCTTTCTAATGATGCAGTTTTCATGCAGCTCCACCTAAGTTCTCAACAGGAGAATTTACAATGCATGAATCACTGTTTGCTGTCGCTGTGTGTTCCTGCATGGGCTCCAAGGTGCTTGCCAGCTCCATTAATACTGTGTGAGCAATGTCCCATTGTACGAATGTGTGCACGCATGTGTGTGTGTGTGTGTGTGTGTGTGTGTGTGTGTGTGTGTGTGTGTGTGTGTGTGTGTGTGTGTGTGTGAACAAATTGGGCATGTGTGCAGTGGCGTGTGTCACTTAATCTTTTCTCCTTTTTTTCTTTTTTTCTTTCTGTTTTATATTTACTACGTCAGGCAACAAATGAATCATCTTTATTACGCAGAAATTTAATTTGGATGAACTTAACTGCTGCCGCCAAGGTCAGACGGGCAGAATGTCATTTTAATCCAATCAACTTTAATCTGTTGGTTATAAAAGAGTTAGGCTGTTGAAGAATGGCTGTATCTCAGGCCCTTTATTACGCCGGCTAATGACTTTGATTGTGAGGCGCCTATCAAGGGGTTAGGAGCTCTTATGGAGCTCCTCGTTCCTGCTAAGTCTCCACCTCATGCCACTGTTGAGCTCAGCTAACCCTAAAACCTCTCATGACTCTATGCCCTGTTTACCGCAAAATCCATTTTGAAAAAAAAAACAAGTGATTTACGTTTATATTTTAAAGTTATGGCATTTTATATTTCAGCACAAATGAAAAAAGGAAACAAAACGTACGCAGTAGCTTCTCATGCTATCTTAATGCTATCTCCATTATAGTACATTTGTATTCTGATGAGGGAATATTTCACTATAGTGTAAAGATGAATACTAGAAGACAAGTCCAATTCCTTCGCTTTCCTACAAAGATGTCTACTTTTAAATTAGTGACATCATTTGCCTATATAAAGGACAGCAGTAATAGACTAAGATGGAGAGCAGTGATACATTTAGCAATACATTTAGAATGAGCTGCATGGTCTTCTTTTTCTTTTTTGGAGAAGATATACATTTGTAATTAAGAGAACAGTGCTGAATCTGCAGGCGCTATTGCCTTTGAAAGTTTCCTTTTCAGAAGGACTCATTAATGTGCTCGCTGCGCATTTGGTAAGCTGTGCTTAGAACATCGAGGCCGTATGTCTCTGTGCTCTGCGATGCAACAAATCAACTCACAAATCAGTGTTTGGCATAATGATGTGTCCCATTAATGGCACATCAGAGTCATTATCATTCATTAGGTAACCAAAAATGCACATCATCTGTTGACATGGAGTTCATTAACAATGTAACCTTTTAGGATTTATTTCTTTAAAAATATTTGTGTGTCAGTTTTAGATCAGTTGTTGTTTGCATTTTGGGGGGGGTTACATTTTTAGTGATTGAATAAATACAGTAGAAGAAGCTAAACTAAAAAAACAAATGTATTTGTTAACATGTTAGGTTAAAAAAGTGTTTCCTTCCTGCTCTGTCTGTTTAACTTGCTCTCTCCACTGTGTAGAAGAAAGTGTTGGACAGCGACCGACGGCTGTATCAACAGCTTCACTCTCACTCCGACAAGGAGTATCTCCGCCTGCTGCAAGACAGACAGCAGCTGCAGCAGGTAAAGTGATGCTCTGCTCCATTCCACACTGTAAGGTTACACATTAAGAATCACTCTTTGTGTTTACTATCATCACACCAAGCCAGAGGAAGTGAACAAGTACTTCCTTGTTGGAGAAAAAAATACTGCACGGCCCAAACAGAACTGAATGCAGAATTAGACCTGCAGTTAGGTATTGTCTCAAAAAAGTGCAACATTCAAGCTCTCACTTTGTTCTTCATCTCTATGTTTGCGTCTGTGTGTGTGTGTGTGTGTTTCAGCGGTGTGCCTTGCAAGTTGAGCGCCATGCGGAGTGTGAAAAGGCTATTCTTCAGATGAAGTCAGAGCTGGAGAGACAGTATATAAACTCTCATTCTCCTCTGTTCATCCTGGTCTCTGTCCTTGTCTCTCCTCTTGTGCCCTTCCCATCTGCCTCCGCCCCTTACTATTCTTTACACAGCCAACACATAAGGCACACTGTACCTTATGGGGAAAAATGTTTGTCACGTACATATTTTCCCTTTTCTCTGTTCATTGATGCTATTTATTCCTTTAAACAGCAGTTTGGACAGATTCTCTCTTCTCTGCTTTCTACAGAGCTCAGGAAAAAGCAGCTCTTAAACAGAGCCTTGTTGCATCCAACCACACCCACATGAGCGATCGCGCCCGGCTGGAACAAGAAGTACTTTGTCTAAAAAAGGAAGTAACGTGCTTAGAGGTGGAGCTGGAGGACAACCAAAAGGTATTAGAGTATCATGCATCTCCTGATCCGTCCTCTAACTGAGAGACGGACGTATTATTTTGACCTTTTTTTCCTTCCTTTTTCAACTCACAAGCCTCTTCCTCTTGTCCTACAATGTTGCCCACGCCTGTTTCTCATGCTAAGAACAAGAGCTGGAGACCAAACATAGGTTCCCAAAGAGGAGTACTCAACCCACCTCCGCCTGCACCACACACACACACACACACACACACACACACCACTCATGTGATTGTCCCGTGATTGCCTGGCAGAAACAAATTGCCTCGCCATTAATTAAAGCACCAAACGTGCCAAGGCTGGTGAAATTGACTCCAATTAAGAGCTCAATGGGACACTAAATATTCAAATTACTCAAAGTGGTGACTGTAGCCTGGCAGTGTGCCAACAACACTGGCAGTCATAGAGTCATTGTGTGTGTGTGTGTGTGTGTGTGTGTGTAGGGGAGAGTGGGAACACTTGAGTTTACACGTTAATTTGTGCGTCCTTTGGCACATACAAGTGATGGCATGTCATGCTTCCCAAGATCATACGCATGCACACACACACACACACACACACACAGACACACACACACACACATATGCTCTGGAAAACATCAAGAAGAAATCGTAAGAATCTATGTTATCCAAATCTGTAAAATATTCAATAAACATTTATATACTTAAAGATTTATTTTTTCTTCAATTTCATATGCAAAATCAAACTGTATTTAAAAAAAAAAGCATTGATCAGAATAAGCTCTGAAAGCATTTTGGGTAAACCACCTAGAAGTATACGTTCTTCAAATGTTTGTAAAAGCACCCAGAATGCAACAGTGCTTCCGCTCATTCACCAATGGTCAGCATGTGTCTGTTTAGTGTTTGTGATGTGTGAACAGAAACTCACACAAACCTGCCGTGAAGGACTTTTCAATAATTCTGCGATATGCAGAGATGTCTGCTGTTTGCCTTCCAGACCCTCTCACACATTTTATTTGCCTTAGCCAAACAGCTCAGACATGGTTTTGAAGTTTCCGAGGCGATGTAAGAAATGCCCACTACCTTTTTTTCCTCTCCAGCTATATGGCTTAGGTAAATATGTAAATTATATTTTAAAGTTTCAGTCAAGGTCTCCCATGAATAAAAGCAAATGTAGGCAGGTAGAAAAAAAAAATCTAATAAAAGGTCGTCCACAATACACATTTTAGGCTCCCTTTGATGCAAACTGTGAAGTGCATTCCCGACGCGAACTAGCGAGACACTTAAGGATGGAGCTCATGTTCACTTACTCGCTCTTCCTCTTGGCCTTCACCTGTTCCGTAGGTACATGCAGCACTTCTCTGTCAATCGGAGGAGGAGCTGAAGGAGGCCGAGCGACAGGCGGCGAGAAGGAGCAGCGAGCTGGACGTGCAGAGGGAAGAGTTGGAGGAGATGAGGAGCGCCGTCAGAGAGAAACAGAGGCTGAGCTTTCAGAGCAGGCAGTCGAGGCGAGAGCTGGAGGAGCTACGACGTACGCACCAAGTGACAGGTAACAATAATAGTCAGTGTATGCGTTTTGTACCTTTTATTAGAGAGACAGGACAGTGGATAGAGTCTGAAACCAGGGAGAAAGAGAGTAGGGAATGACACCACCAGTGCCCCATGCAAACAGTTTTTTTTATTTATTCAAGATATCAGTCAACTTTAATCAGCTGTATAAATAAACCATTCCTCTACAGTCACATTAATATTCTATAATTAACACGCCTTTGACTGAAGTCTGGGGCAAATTTTCAAAACTAAAAAACTGCAAATTTATTTTTTTACAATGCTGAACTTTTGGCAGCGTTGTGTGAATCAGAAGCATATAGTGTGCTAGAGGTGCTGTACAGTGTGCTGTGCCTTTTGTAGAAGATCCAGCCACACTGCTGTTAGCGCAATCAGTTAGTTTAAATTAGCCAGCAGCGGTCCAGGAATGTGGTGATTCAGTCGCTCGCTGTCTGCAGGCAATGTTTAACTCACACAATATACGCATACACACTGAAGATAGAGGTTTGATTTAATGGCGCACAGCTATAGCTGTATGGTAATGATCTGGTATGTGTGTGATTGTGTGTGTGTGTCCATTGGTGGCCTTTGTAGTAGTGTGTCAGTGCAGGAATGGTGATGGCTGGGTCTCTCTGGGCACAGAAATGTCTCATTAAGAATTAACGTACACATCTACGGTCACGCCAGGCAAACACCTCGCATACACACATGTGCACACAGCCATTTCTCCCAACTCCCACAGCTTTAATTAGCACATACACATTGACTCTCCGCGGTACAAACACACACACGCACGCACACACACACACACGCTCACCTATTGTCCGCAGAGAGATGAATCTGAGGTCTCTCTCTGTGGCAGACAGTGGCTGGCTTGCTCGGTGAACACTGCTCATTAACAAGATAGAGACAGAAGGACAACGCTGTGTAGCTTGGCCTTTTGTCTGTGATCAAAACGCATTCCCTCAACTCTACGCTCCACACAAAACCACATATTATTCAGCTTTTACCTTCAGCGAATATACAATCCAGCAGCGCAGAGCCTGTTGTAATGACTTAAGAAGAATAAAGATGCATTATTGTAACAAAGGGGGCATTGTTTACCTGGATATAGCAGTGGCCTGAATAGACTGGGTGAGGAGTTAGCTTGATGAACAAAAGGCCTTTTTATTAACACGACGCCCTTGTCGAGGTGCTTTCTTTATTATAAGACATCGCCTTGAGTGGTGATGATTCTCTTTGATGCTTGATAAACAGTAGATTTGGTTGACGACGGACTGGATTGTGAAAAATCAACAGGTTAGAATACAGACTGGTAGAACAGTGTGGACCAAACAATGACATGTAAAATAATGGAGAAGAAACAGGAATAAGTAAATTTCCATTCAAACCATAGATTTTAACTTTTATTTTGTTACTTTTTGCCTTCTCTGATTTGTCTGTAAGATGACAGATTGCATTATTATAATTTCTGGGTTCTTTTTTAAAGGGGACATATTATGAAAAATCCACTGTGACAGTGTTTTTGAACATAAACCCTGAGAGTCTATTGACCCACAAAATGTGAAATAAACCCATCCAGTCCTTTGTTTGTGGTCTGCATAAGTCTTACAACACAGAGAAAAATGCTCTGTTTCAAATTTGCCTCTCCTTGTGATGTCACAGTGGGATTCTGGTATCTCCACCCATGGACTCCACCCCCGCCTTGGACAAGACTTTTGCGCAGGTCGGCCATTTTTATTCTCACTACAGAGGAGTGATGTCTACTGGGAAAACTCAGGGGGGGCTCATTGCATTTAAAGAGACACACACACCAAAATGGAGCGTTCTGAGAGAGCTGGTTTATGCAGGGTCACAAACCTCCTCTGGTGCTTGATTCATGTTATATTTTGACCAAAGCACAGCACATATGTTTCATTTGAACCACAGGGGACTGTCTGAAAAGCTGTCCTCTTTAAAGGTATTTGGCATTTTTGTTGTCTCTATTGGATAATTTTTTACATCAGCTTTTTTTAAGCTGTTTTTCTGACGTCAGCCTGATAGTATCTTCCCTTAATTCCACAATGTTGACTAGAAATACACAAAACTGTAGCCAGGATGTGATGGATATTACATTAAAAAGGTCTCCACGGCCATTTAGAAGGAATGTGAAAGGAGGAAAGAATACGAGGACAGGAGGATGTGTTGGGAACCAGCGGATTGTCATGTGGATGAGATTGAAGCGTGTGAAGGCAGCTGGATTCAATCAGATTGTGGCAGGAGAGGCTGAGGAGACAGGAAAGAAAGGGGGAGGGGGGTGATTAAAAATGGTAGGAAAAAAAATTAAACTTGTCGTATGATTCAAATTGACTGTCACTCTTTGACAGTGTGCATTTTCTGTCTGAGTCTCAGTAACAACACTTGATACACTACTGATGACGCTCATGGAATTTGAGGGTGCGTACAGTCTTAAAGCCGTCTCTTTGCAGCACCTACAGTTATGTGTTTCTGAACAGCTGATTTGTTGAAGGATTGTGTTGAACGCTTTGCCACGACATGCAGACTGCATATAGAAAGACATGAATACGTGGCGCTTCCTTGTACTTGTAATGATCGTTTCAATACCAAAATGTTGCCAGCGTATATGTGCAGCGCTCTCTCTTATCATACAGCTTCTGGTTAAAAATATGAATGAAGGGGCGCAGGAGGCCTGGTGGTTGGCGAGTGGCACCAGGTTCTGATCCGACCTGTGTCTCCTTTCCCACAGTGTTCTCCACTCTGATTCTGATGCTGTTCTATCTCTATTTTAAAGGCTGAAGAGGCCACAAATAGACCTTTGAAAAAAGACTGAAGATCTGTAGTTCGGTACTTTTTAGCACAATTAATCATTGAAATTATGGAGAGTGTGTCATTTAAATACACACAGTAACAAAAAGTATCCACATTTGTGATCACCTTAATGGTAACTACTCAATGCAATAGCATAAACAAAGCATGTGTGTTTGCTCTAAAGAGGGTGGTAAGTCTTTTGGAAGGAAATGTTTTCACAGCACCTACCTGTGACGTTCATGCAGGGATAGATGTGTAAAATATTCAAATACGACCGATGGTGTCATCTTACATCTTAAATAAGATGTGTTGTTAGGCTGGCCGTAATGTGAAATAAATGCGATGCTGTGTGACGACAAATGAAATAACGGCGTAAACAAAAACACAATATCCATATTTCCACACTTCCACAGAAACAGAAATGTGATATTACCTCCCTTCTGTGCTGCTGATGTGCATCTGCCTAAAGATGATGAAATCATTATTGTGTGCGTGTGTGTGTGTGTGTGTGTGTGTGCGCATGTGCATGTGCACGTGTGTGTGTGTGTGTGTGTGTGTGTGTGTGTGTGTGTGTGTGTGCTGCTATCCAACCTGGATCCCTGGACGCACACGTGCACAGGCCTCTCTCCTCCAATTCACCTCTATTACTAGCTATAATCCCATTTCACACTCTATCGATCCCCAAAACTGTTGTTCACCGGAACCAGCAGCAAACACTGGCATTTCTCCCCATCATTTCACCACCATTGTTCTTTATTACACAAAGAAGCCCCCCTTTTGTCTCAGAGCAAACTCTGCCCCGCTGAAATATGAATTATAAATGTATGGCTAATAAAAGAGAAGGGGTTAAAAAAGAGAGAGAGAAGGGGAGAGAGATAGAGATAGAGAGAAGTGGTTGGTAGAAACATCAGAGAAAATGACTCCTTTACAAGAGTCTATTGATCAGTTTCTATCAAAGGGGGATGTCAGACATGAGATTACCTGGCAGTTTGAGCATTAGGTGCCGTGTGTTATAGCCCCGGGCCCTTGTAGCGCTGCCAGAGGATTGTAAATAAAGCGGAGAGGAGAGAGCAAGAGGGGAGTGTGTTGGGGTGTATGTGTGTATGTGTGTGTGTGTGAGTTTGTAGATCTGTGTGTCAGTCTTTGTCTTTGTTAGTGTTCACAGTTGTGTGCATTCAATTTTTTTTTCTTCTTTCGGTGTATTTGTGTGCATGACGTTGTGCAGCTGTCTGCTGGCACCTTTTGGCTTATACCCAAAAGCAGTGTTGCAAGCCCGTGAAACTTCAGAAAGAGAGTGAAGGAGTCTTGGGAGGCTTTGGGACGTCTCCCGGGAGCACCTTAGCCCGCTACGAATCCCCCAACAAAGCCAAAGGAAGCCCCTATGAAGCCTTATGAAGCTTTTATGAGGGCCGGGCAGGGCCCAGCCTTGCCCCAACTACTGATTCAGGGTTAGCCAGGTTCTCTTCCTTCTGATGTTAAAGGTTAGCTGTGAGAGCGGGGTAATCTGACTGTAGATCTGTGATTATAGACTGATGCTGCATGATGGGCTTTGAAGCTTGTATGAAGGCATTGAGAGGGAGAGAGACTGAGAGAGAGTCAGATTATGGAATAATGTCAGACCTTAAGTTGTGAAGCCTGACTAAAACGGTCAAGAAAGTGAGAGAGTCAGCGACCCAAGATCTTAGATTGAGAGCTAATGTCATAACTTAGCTTGTGAAGCCTCTAAAAACAGGTCATATAACATCCCAGACCTCAGAGTATGTGCTACTACCCTAACTTAAGCTATTAAGGAAAACTGATTTTCTCAAAATCCACAACCTCCTCCTGATCTTTCTTGGATGTGAAACATGTTGGCCCTCTTTGGTCATCAGTCCCCACAGAGCTAAATATTCTGCACAGCATATCTGTTTGTCTGTATCTGTGCTGCTGTTTACTTCACTTTTTCTCTCTGTTTTAAGAACTCCACAATTTTTAAGTTTTGAGAAAGCTTTTCCCTTAATTATTTTCTTTCGTGTGTTTCAGCCGTGTGTGTGTGTGTTTTGCTGAAAATATGAGTATTTGTGTAAACGGCCAGTCTATGAAGCTAATTGCTCTCTCTGTGGCCTCCCCTGGTGGGAGGTGTCACTGAGGTCACCTCAAAACTAATGATTTGAATGCGAATTTGATCGCCATTTCAAGTTTTCACATCTCTGCTTTATTGATTATTGAGATGCACGGCAAACTTTAACCTTGAGGTTCAGGAAAATAGCCAAGGTAAGGCGCATGCATGCACATAGACACACAAATAAAAGTGTTTGTGCATCGTTAAATATTTAGCAATTCCAGTTTGCTGCTTCAATTTTCCTCGGGCTTCAGTTAAACAGTTTGGAAGCTGCCAACCCATGAATTTATCATCAGTTATATTAAATGTGGATTTTCTTTTCTTTATTTCATCCTTTCTGGTATTGGTTTTAGCCCCCCCCCCCCCCTCCTTTATTCAGACTGTCCCACCACTTCCATCACAGCGTGGTGCTTGGCCCTAAAAGCTTTACGGCAATACACATACAACATTTCTCTATTTCTATTTCGCACACTCAAATACACAAGCACACCTGCAAAGTCAAGGTCCGTCCTGTAAATATTCAACACGCGCACGCGCACACACGCACACGCACACACACACACACACACACACACACACACACACACACACACACACACACCTCTACATATTCAGGGCACACATCTTCTCAATATTCACCAGCCTTGGTCACCGATGGCTGACAGTTTATGTTATATTCCGTGAATACTGAATTTAGTGAAAAGGTTTTAAGAGCTATGAAGAAACATTGACTCACAAAATAGCACACAGAATCCAAAATTTCAAACTAAAAAGAAATACAACGGCCTGCAAAAGCTAACCTAACCAAGGAACCAGTCTACTGGTTTATCATGCATTCGCTCAATGGGCTACACTACTAAGTGTAGGACAATGGGGTTTTATTGCATGTAGACGGAGCAGGCGGCTGAAAAGGGAATGTGATTGAAGGGATGCAGTCACAAGCACGAGCACAAGTGGCCTGCTCAAGGTAAAGAGTGCCATCTATTGACGATGTCGGGGAGCGCTTCTTTTGTCTCTCAACAAAAGGGCTGCAGCAGCGTCTCCGTGTAAGCAGTGCAATACTCTCTCTGCTTCCTTCTCTGCCTCTGAAAGGCACTCACTGCCTCTTCTGTGGTGTAGGTCTTGGTTTTGCTTTGAAGAAGGGTTCATGGTTCATGTATTTTCCCACTCGTGCTGAACTTGATGGGAATCAATAACCACCTCTATGCAGATATGTTTTTTTACATCCTTCTATTAAGCCTGGCCTGCTGGACGATGTGGAGTACTGTGTTAACTCATTATACATATTCCCTTCATTAAATGAATTAAAATAAAATATGAACTCAGCTTCTAAACCTATTTGACACAATTTCATTAATATCTCAACAGGAACATTTTTTTTTTTGTCAGAAGACAATGTGAATAAGGCCTGCTCTCTAATGAATCAGTGTCTGAGGTGAACTGTTGCTCTTTATCTCACACTTCTCCTCCTCCCTCTCTCCTGCTCAGTGGAGGAGTTGGCAGCTCGTGCAGAGGAGGCGAGGCGGATGGAGGGGTGCCTGACTGAGGGAAAGCTAGCAGAGGAGAAAATCAGGTAAGGAAGGGGGGAGAAGGAAAGAAGCTTCTTCCCTTATCAAATCTCCTATCCACATCCGTGTAATCAAAAGCTTTAAGCTCCTTTTACATGTACAGTGCAATGTTTAACCATACATGTGTGGAACAGTGCAGCCTCATGGGTTGTTTATGAGTCTACAAAGAAAGAATCCTAACTTATAGTTAGTTTAGTTTCTGTTTATTTCTTTTTTTTTTTCTGGCGATTTCTGTTTCTCTGTATGCAGAACAATCACAATGTGTACTGATGGGACACATTAGGTTAGCAGATGTTAGGTCAGGGAGTCAGAGTTCAGAGTCGAGACCCCTGCATGACCCCTCTTGTGTCACCAGAGCTGCGGTGGTGACATCAGCAGGCATGTATCACCCAGTGGAGTGTGTGTTTGTGTGTCTGTTTGTGTGCTCATAGTTGTGGTTGTGGCTTTGGCTTCGACATGACCTCACTGCAACAACGGTCTCCGTCTTAGGGAGTTTCTCGGTTAAGTCGAGCCATGGAACATTTTTTTATCGTCAACCGACAATTTCAAACTGGGCATGGAGGCTTCATAAGTAACATTCTGAATTATTAGACTTTATTACATTTTAAAGCAATTTTAAGCACCGAATGGTAAAACAATCGCTGTGTCCGCATATTACTCCCATTTGCGAAATCATGCTGTTTACTGTTAACCCAGTATTATCTAATAACTGCACAGACATGAAAGGGTTTTTAAGCAACAACACCATACTAATGGCTTCCATCTGTGCTGTGGGAAATCCCCTCCTTTCTCCACAGGATGCCTCCTCTCTTACTCTCCTTTCTCTCTCACACTCGCCTCGTCCTATCATGTGTTCTCTCCAAGGACCAATCAATCAGGCTCTTTCTTTCCTTTTGTTTCGGCCTCTACTTCAGCTTTTACCACCACTTAGTTACTCCTTTACTATCAGTTTGAAGTTTAGTGCTCACACGTTTAGTCCAGCTAACTATGTGTAAAATGTTATGGAATTTGTATATTCAGTCTTTTGTCATTCATAAGAAAGGATCATTTCAAGTGTAATTAAAATCACCTGGCTTTGTTTGTAACAGCTAACAGGGACTTTTTGAGTTTATTTATTTTCAACATATAATGTAATATGTTTGGGTTTCCTCTTCTATCTAATGCTCAGATAGTGATTTTTGTTTCACTTCAGACTATGAAATGATGTCCAGTTTGAACATAAATGATGGAAAAACTTAATGACAAGTAGGATTTCAGGGTGTCAGTGGCCTGGCGGTTGGTGCGGGCGCCCTGTGTTCAGAGTCTGTGGTCCTGTAAGTGGGTTTGAGTCCGACCTGGGGCTCCTTTCCTGCATGTCATTCCCCACTCTCTCTCCACACGATTTATGTCTCCATCCACTGTCCTGTCTCTAAAAATGGAGGCATATAAAGCCAAAAAAAAAGGAAAACTAAAGGAACTAGAAAGGAAAAGTAGGATTTTATAACTTCTTATAAAGCCATACTGAGCTGTACTGTGATTCTTGGAATATAACAGAAATCGAATGTAAAAATGTAACAGAAAAAGTGAAATGTGTAGCCTTTCCCTTGATTAAAATTCACATGTAAAATACTAGCTTCATTCACTGTCCCCTAACTTTTACCTGCAAGGCCAAAATATTGGGGGGGGGGGGGAGTCACTGGGGTGTTGAGACTCACCGTGCGGCCGGAGCGAGGCTGTGGAGGGAGGTTTGTGGAAATGGTAATCATTTGTCGTATTGATCTTGCTGTAGCCAGGGCAGCTGGCACGCCACGCACAAACTCACTCGCACTCATGTACACACACACACACACATACACACACACACACACACACACACACACACACACACACACACACACACACACACAAACCCACACTTGCAGACACTAACTGACTCACATACACACAGACGCACAGTTGCGTGGCAGGAATAGACCCCTTCATATTGATCCCCTTCACATTCCCTTAGCTGGGCTGCCACACACACCCACACACACACACACACACACACACACACACACACACACACACACACTCTACTTTCTTGGCTTATATTAAGACTCTGACTGTTCAGGAATTAGGAAAACGACATGTTGAATTAAAATCTGCCTAATTTGTTTGAAATGTGAAAAATATTGAGAAACATTGAAATAAAAATGTCTTTACCCTGGAGTGTCAAAAAAAAAGATGTTCTTTTTTACAATTCACTTAATTGTAATGTATTTGACTCACATTTGTGCTTACAGGTCAATGGCTGCGAGGCTGGAGTTGGAGGCGGCGGAGCTCAAGAGGAATCTTCAGCACGCTGTCGATCAGAAACTTGAGGCAGAGCGAGAAAAACAGGATGCACAGGAGCAGGTAAAGAAAATACACAGCAGCCGTCAGTGAGATAGTGAATGAACAGAAATACTCTCTGTACTCTGAATGCATTATTTCCAAATTGTTTTACTAGTATCCAATTATTCTGCAAGCATACTGAGTTCTCGTATTCCCCTCCCCCTTCCTTTTTTAAAGCTTGTGTAGGAGTATTTGAGCCAGTCTGCTGTACCACAGAAAAATCTAATATCACCTCTCATATGTTATGGTCTACTCTTCCCTCCTCTCCTCCCATGCCCTCCAAGGTCTTCCTCTCCTCTCCTCTCCTTCCCCTCCTCTTCCCTCTCCCTGCACCCCCCTCCTGCCTTTTTTGATGATTAGTGGCATATATCCGGTGCTAGAGCTCGGATTATCTTGTCCAAGACAGGGAGGGGTGTATGTGGGACCTAAACCTGGCAAGGTGATTTGGAGCGTTAATTCCTGGGTGTAATATTCCCTGATATTCCCTAATGTTCTGGCTGTGAGCCGGTGGTTGGTGGGTGGGTGGTTGGGGTGGGGGGGTCTCAGGGGAGAGCGGTTGTCAGAGCTGAGCCGCCGCTGTACAAAGGCAGAATGGATAATTAAGGGTAAAGCCAGGACGGGAAAGTGATGTTCATTTAGATTCGACAAACTTTGAATTCCGTCTAAAGCTTCTGCGCACAGAGGTGCTCAGCTCTGATCTTGATTTTACATTTTGTTTAAATAAAGTGACTTATTTTCTTATCCTCCTTCTGTTTCTTTATTTCGATCTCTTCTCCCTCCTCTTCTCTGTCCATCTCTTTTCTGCCTTTCACCTTGTTTTCTACATCTTCCTCTCTCATTATCCTTCTCATTCACTCACTCTCCCTCACCTTACTCTTTTTTTCATTCTGTCCTTGTGAATAATGCAGCTCGCATAGCCCCAGTCTCTTTTTTTCTCTCTTGACATTAGTGCATCAGGGTTTGACAATAGTGATCGCCCTGGGCCAGTAAGACACCGACTTAGGCCTGTTGATTGGTCAGTCAGAAGTCCCTGTTCTCTTCTTCATGTTTTTTTTAGACTGTTTTAAATCCTGTTTAAATGAGCTCTTCCTCTCATGAACTACTGCAGATATTACAGATTCCAGCACAATTCACATTTCCTCACAGCTCTGTCAAGTCAAAGTCTTGTATGCAGAGGACATGGCATCGGCTACTAGTGCATAAATAATCAAGCAGGAGAGGTGCATCGGATCATTGTGTTTAACTTTTCTACTCCTCATCTGTAGCCTCAACTCAAACTGTGCAAACTGTGCACTTAACATTGGATCACATCCTCAATTGTCTTCACGAAAGAATCATTGATATAGGATAGGATAGTACTGATTGCTACAGTAATAATACAAGTAGTTAGAAAAAACAGATTTTCTTTAAAGAATGCTTTTAAAATTCAGAATCCAGCAGACTGTAATATAAAGATGTCCAGCAGTTCAGTAACAGTATTTGTTACCTCCCATCAGGGACATCAACTTAACGAACAAAATTAGAAATCTTTCTGTGAGTCACACATTTGCTGTTAACAAAAAAAAGTGTTTCTCGCTGTGTGAGTCAGACAAAACCGCAAACAAGGAGCGTGCGTTTAAGGAATTCTGATTTGTGTATATATGATCTGACTGGCTCCCATTCCCTAACATTTCCCTCTTTTCATTGCTGCTGTCTTCTATCATCTCCACAGCAGATGAGCTTTTCAATGAATTTGACTCCGAACAGTGTTTAAACACCAGTGTGATGACCGTTCTGACTATGACTCCTTCATTAGGTCCCAATCTCTGTTATTGACCAACACAAGATGAATTATCCACTGCGGAAAAAAATCAAAGGGTTTGAAATGGTAAATGGTACACTACAGTGGCCTATAGAGGAAATCTATATTACAAATTGCCTCGGTGAACAGTAGCTGAACCTCAGATAGCTCTGTCTGTCTCTGTGCATATGTCTTTGTATGCACTGTGTGTGCGTGTGCGTGCGTGCGTGCGTGCGTGTGCGTGCGTGCGTGCGTGCGTGCGTGCGTGCGTGCGTGGGTTTCTTTTCTGATATGAGATTACATGTTATATGCATGTCAGTTTGAGCTTGCATGCATGCCACTAGAGAAACAAACAGACGCACACATGCCCACACACACACACACACACAAACAAACACACACGCACACACACACACACACACACAAACAACACACACACACACACACACACACACACACACACACACACACACACACACACACACACACACACACACACACACACACACACACACACACACACACACACACACACACACACACACACACACACACACACACACACACACACACACACACACACACACACACACACACACACACACACACACACACACACACACACACACATGCACACTCAGATCTCTTAATCCTGTCCCTCTGCATGAGCCCAGTTCAAATACCAGCCGTGGTAAAAACAAAAACGAGGCAATTCATCTCCCCATTTCCCTCTCTCTCTCTGCGCCCCACACACACACACACACACACACACACACACACAATCACAGTCATTAGTGTGTTTACCTCAACATCCTTTAGCTCAGGAATCAAAGATTTCAAACAGTTTTAATGAGAATTTGCAGAAAAGTTTTCAAACGGCAGCAAAAGTTGTCTTGTTTTCATCCCCCTAAACTTTTTTTGTAAGCATCCCAAAATCTTTAGAACTATTTGCTGTGATTCTATAGAAATACAATTACATAGCTTTTAATCAGTGTGAGTTCGTGGGATGTTTGCCTCATCGCTAGAGATCTTTGCTTGTAGATCTTTGCTTGTAGATCCTTGAGTAAGACGTTGAAAGAAAAAAAACCCATAAAAGGTCCAAGACACTGTTTTTAGTCACCATGTTCCCATCCCAGATTGTCGTCGACCAAGCTATGTAACAGCCCTTTGGCATCTCATTCAGACAAACAAGATATCCCATGACGTTTCACACAGATAACCAAAGTAAACTCAGAGTGCTGACAAAGGCAAACCTGCTTCAACGGCCCATTTGGAGAAACAATGGATAATTAGAATTGATGCCAATTCAAAAATAGATATCACATATATGAACAAAAACAACAATGCAAACAAGCTGCATATCCAGCCATCACACAGAAGTGCTCACGTCCTTTTGAACTGGTTTCCTGATAGTTTCCTCCTTTGTTGTCTGGCACATAAATTGGCCACTTTCTACTCCATAAACTCACTTCAAATTATGTCATGATAATCTGCATTTTTTTCCGAGTCTCTAATACCAAAGGCTTAATGTCAAGGATTGTTTTAAACCAAGTGAGTGTCAAGATGGAAAAGACTGGTCCCTTGGGTGTGAACGGATCTGAAACAGAGTCTGTGTTCGACGCAGGTTTGGTTCTACACGATCCCTAATCCAGGAGGAGGGCAAAGCAAAATGTCATTTACTGTATTTTCCTTTATTTTAATGACCAACTCCATCAGTGGTGGACAGTGACCTAGCTGCCTGTCGTTGCTGTTATCCAATCAGAAGGGACTCACGTCTTACCATGCAAAGTGCCTGTGTTTCATCTTATTTGAAATATGGTGTAACTTTTCAAGCGTGAGCGTGAAGTATTTCTATTGTGGTGATTCTGGAGACAGGTCTGCGGAACGATTTCATCTGTTCATTGATCTCACTCATTATACCTGATAGAAGCCCCGGAGCCTGGCCTAATTAGCTTAGAAATGACCCACACTAGATCACCATTTACACACACACACACACACACATGCAGGTTTGATGATGGAGAGATGAGGACAGACAATTGAAGCTCATTTGTTTAGCTGATGAATCAAGAGAAGCGGTCCAATTGTCTGACTGTTTAACCATGGAATGGACTTTGTATTTGTTCAGTGGGTGTGTGCTTGTGTGTCCTTGTGTTCCGTCACCCTCAAACACAGCTCATTAGGCCGCACTGCTGTAATTCGTTTGAGAGATGGAACGGACAGCCGAGCAGACAAAGTGGTCCATTTTTCTCTTGTTGTCCCTCACTTCTCTTGTCCTTCGTAGCGGTGCCTTGTCTTTTATTCACCAGAGAAGGTCACATGTTTTCACTCTGCAGGGATACAGTTTATGGGAGGGCACCAGAAGGTATGATGGTTTTAATTTAAAGCAAGAACACAGGAGAAGTAACACATTCAAAATAGTTAGATTGATATTCAAACACTGTTCCTTTCTTTCTTTAGTCGTGTCAAGTACAGCTTTGTGGATGTCGTCGGGGGGGAAAAGGTGATAGTTTTAGAGAGATACTAAAAATGTGTTTTAGTTAGTCAAAGAGTCGACTCTTCACTCTGTGGTGTTGACCTTGGCCAAGGTTAACACCACTTGATAAAAAAGGGAGGATATTAGTCTTTACAAATCCTTACTGATTTAATCCTTACTCGTTTAACAGCGTCTATTTCTTTTTAAAGGCTTTATATGTGATTTTTCACACTTAAATATAATAGAAATCAAGTATATCCTCTGAAAATAACTCTGTGAGTCATGACTGTCTACAATGGGCGTAACACCCGAGTCCCACTGTCTGTGATGCTTTCAGAGTTTCAGAGGGACTAGAGAAAAGAAGAATAACATACTGTACTCACTGCTTAACTGTGTTTCTAGATCACGCTCATTTCAGGTAAATTTACATGCAGTGTGAAGATATGAGCATAATCAAGATCACTAGCATTAGCATGCTAACACAACAATGCAGCGAGAGTTGTTTTGGTTTCATGCTGGTGCTCAAGGGCGACATCTGCTGGATCAAAAAATCACATATAAAGCCTTTAAAGTAAGTAAGAATGCTATAATTGTGATTATTCAAGGCTAACCTTGAATCATCTCACCTTAGCAGCAGGTCGTACTCAAATCCTCTTCACAGATTCCATCTGTAATATCACCCTATTCAAAGCTACTCTCCGTCTCAGGAGGGAAGAATACAGAGTTATTAGCTCAGAGTGATCTGATTAATGACATTCAATTGAAATCCATTGAAAATATCTTCCCTAAACTGTGAGATTCTTTGGAGAATATATATTATATTATATTGTTAAAATGCCTTTTTACGGAGAAGCAGATACTTGTATTAACAAGCGTATTCCACGAGCAGAGTGATCTAACCTTATCCTTGTGATTACTGTACTGCTTCCTGTCCTGAGTATACAACTTTAACGATCTTTAAAGTCAAACATTGTACTAGAATTAAATGATAAAAATTCCTCCCACTCCTACATATTATTTCATTCTCCCACATGTTCAAGTGCTGTAAAGAACATTTAAGATTCTTCTCCTAGAAACCATAGCATGAAAAGATACCCTCCCAGTTGGTGGAACTTATTCTAACTGAACAAGTGGTAGAGAAACTTCTTCCAAGGCTGAAAATGTAGTTTTGCTCATGCAGGCTAGATGCAAGATAGGGGACTTCAGTAATGGCAGCCGCTGATAAACAACCCAGCAGCATGCGTAGGAGAGTGTATGATGATGAAAGGACTTGGGGAAAGGAGTCAGGCCATGCAGCAGCAGATGAAGGTAATTAAAGAAGCCATCATCAGCATCATTAATATGCTAGATCTGCCGTGGCCCACTGACTAGTCTAATGGAGAACATGTCATCATCGTCACCATTAGGGAGAGTGGGACACACACAAACACACGCACACACTGTCTTAATGTTGGGTCACGCCATGATTATCACCATTAAGCCTAGAGTGAGAAGACCTGCTTAGGAAAACCTCATTCTCTGCTGCCAACGTACACTTACATGCACACATACAGTACACACACACACACACACACACACACACACACACACACACACACACACACACACACACACACACACACTGGCAGATCTTTAATTCAGACCCTGTGAGTGATAAGTATGCATATTTAAGTGATGTCAGGCCTGTTGGGTCTTTTAATTAGACAGAATGAATGAATGTTTTATAAAAACGTGTTTAACAATAAATGTGTTCATTAATTTGATGAGAGGATGTGCTCTGATGAGCTGAGTGGAACAGAGTAATGGCTCGTATTCAGCTCCGGCGGTTTGATGGTGGTGGAAGCAACAACCAGGCTATCTGTTTCTAGTTTCTCCCTCATCTTCATATTTCTCTCCCTCTCTTTTTTTTTTTTTTTTTTTTTTACTAAGAAAAGTTCACTTTGAATTATGTTTATCCGGCAAACCCTGGACAGCCTGGTTTGTTCTAGTGAAAATGCACTTTTGTCCTGTTGTAAAGTGCTGTGTGATACCAGTCCACTGCTCCTCCATGGAGAATAGAATAGATGGAAAATCCATTAACTGCTGGAGTCCCCACAATCTTTTCTTCTTCCTCTTCTGTCTGCAGGTATGCTTTGTGGTTTGTCATGAAAGTTCATTCTGATGCATAAGTTGAGGAAAAGATGGTGTGTGCGCAATAAGTCCATCTTTTGCCAGTGAAAAGTGTGGGCTGTTTGGACTGGATAACCTGGCCCTTTTTTTTTAATTTTTTGATGGAATAAACTATCAGAAATAATAAATACTATTTTAGCAGCTGTAAAGATTCCACGTTCTCCACCAGCACTGCAGAAGTCAACTCATATTCTCTAGCCTTGACTTGAAAGGAGCTATGGTATCACCAAACTTGGTTATAAGTGTGTCCCAAATGCATTTTGTTGCCCCTTTTAGCCCCCATCATCAGCTAAAATATTTGTGCAACAAAACCAATCTAAATGTTAAGCAGGTACGCTACTTTGCTCCTCCCCCCGCTTGCAATCGCACCTCCTTTGTCCCCTTTTCTCTAAATGTCTCTCCCCCTCTCTCTCTCTCTTTCTCTCTCACTCTCTCACACACACACACACACACACACGCTCTCCCCCTCTTTCTCACACACCCCTTCACTGCCTCCCTTGACACTGGTGGAAACAGAGTGATGGTGTGTAATTTAGTCCTAATCACAACATCAGACTTGCGTTGCGATTTACATCCCTCCACCAGGCAAGCCAGTCAGACAGTCAGGAGGGAGATGTTAATGTGAGACCACAGGTAATTACTGTCATTACAGCACGCATGGAACATGCCGGCCCGTGTATGCGCGTGCAGGTTGACGTGTGTGCACACTCATCGTGACGAGGGGTCTGTTTGAGCTCTTAAATCACAGGATTTTACATTTTTTTGAGTATATGATTAAGATGTGATTTTAGCCAATAAGTTTGCAACATAATTCTTCTACATAGAGATGCACCGAATGCACGAGAAAAACACAAATCCAATCTCAAACAGCATGGGATGCACAGTATATTTGCCATTCTTGATTAAAGTAATTATAACTGATGCTCTCATTCAGTTAACTCTTCAAAATCGAATGACTTACTTGATTCAGTTTCATTGGTCCCTCAGTGTTGCTTCATTGCTTTATTTGTTGAAATGCAACGCTTCCATAATTTAAATATGATTAAAAGTCTAGTTCCTTATTTTGTTATGAAGTCTGAATGATTGATTACGTGTCACCGTCATCCTCACAACTTCCCTACACATCTGAACCGACCTGCATTTTGATTATCTCACATTATTTTGACCAATTGAAAGTCGCCCACCTTTGGCACAGACTTTGTCAATATGAGAGAAAGTCAAACCTTTTTAGTTTTTCCATACCAACCGGTTCGACTTTGATTCATTTCTTCACTACTTTTTATGTTGCAATGAATTTCCACAGAACTTGTCCTAAAGGTGCATAAGATATTGGAAAAAAAACAAACCCATCATTGTCTCATTCAGCACAATAACACACAAAGAACAAGCTGTAATGTTTATTTTTTCAACTGTTACATACATTTCTGAATACATTCAGAATATGTGATAATGTTGAACTTTTGAACTTTTGAACTGGCATCCCTATCTGTAGCCCAAGGCTGATAAGAGGCAGGCATTAAAAATGTGCTTTTCCCCAAAGACACAGTAAAAAAATACTCAAAATATTTGACCTCAGGCAACTAAAAGTATATATTCATTTTTATTTAAACCTTGGGTTCACAAGCAAGTTTTCCATTTGGGTAGGCCCCATAGGAGTTTGACCATAATACATATACAGCCGGCACAGTTCAATCTCCAAAAAATGATTATATTAGTGATAATGATGAAAATATTTTGTAAATGTAACTATGTGTGGCATTCATATGTTTTTTGGAACACACATACACACACATGCACAGTTCATGATTCAGCTCACACAGAAGTTGATTTTTTTTTTTTTCTTACATAAATGATTTGACATTTTTGGTAACTTTAAATCATGGTCAACACTGACAAGTTTTTTTTTCCTCTTTGCCCAAGTTTTTATAGGAAGATTGTATTGTATATCAAGGTGTTTCCTTGGCGATAAGGGTACTGTGTCAGGGTCCCCAGAGTTTAGGCCTGGAAAGGTCCTGGCTGATAAGCAGAATGAAAAAGTCAGCAGTTTGGCCAGTGCCATCCCATCGCTGTTTTCACCCCTCACCCGTCGTCTCCTCTCTCCAATCTCGTCTCCGAGCTGCTCCTCCTCTCTCCCGTCTTAATACCTCACCCTGCTATTCATACCTGCGTCCACAAATGCCACCTCTTTCATCTCCTGTTATTCTCCATTTACCTAATTTTTCTCTTGTGTTACTCATATGCGCTGTATTTGACATTTATTTTCACCCTGTCCTTTTCATCCATTAGAGCCACAATTATCCCCGTTTTACCCTTCTTTATTTCACACCTTTGGCTCCCTCCACAGCACATTTGCAAGTGTCAGATGTTAATACTTTCCTGTCCAAACACAAGATTTAAACAACAGGCAATGCAAAATATGTCATCAGATAAGCGGGAAATGTATTTCTTTATTAAATGTTCATTTGTATAGTGAAGCAAGTTAACCATTGTCACACATTACAGCATTTATAGCAGGCTTTCCCGACCTTGGGGTCCCGACACCAAGAAGGGTCGCATGGAATTTGAATGGGGTCGCCTGAAGGTTTTATTTATTAGTCAATAAAAAAATATACTGTATACTAAAATATATGTAACACATCCTACTGTGGGCCATAGCCAAAACAAGAAACTAGCAGAGACGCTGTCTGTATGTCATCTATTGTGCAGAAATGTTATCTCAGCCTTTCTTCCTCTGTCCACATGATTTTTTTATTTTTTTTATTTAACCTTTATTTAACCAGGTAATTACCCCATGTAGACCAAGATCTCTTTCACAAGGGTGACCTGGCCAAGAGGGCAGCAGCACACGTCATAATAAACGCCTAAATGTGGTCAAAAATGAATATTTACTTGCAACACAGAAGAAAAACTTTTACAAGATTGAAAACAAATCAATTTGAGCAAAAAGCTGTTTGTGTTTTGGATGACACAAAAGATGTGTGATGTCAAAGTGGAGTCACGAGCCAAAGAAGGTGGGAACCACTGATTTATAGCCTAAGCTAATTTGTCATGCCCGTCTCTGGATCGGCCTTTAAAATAAAATACATTAAAAAAGTAATATGTAAATAAAACACAAGAAACCGTACCAAACAAGCTCAACAATAACAATAGAGTCAAACTTTGCACAACATTTTTACATTGTTGCCATTCATAACGCTGCATGAGATTGTGATAATCTGTAATTTATTTTCTGTCTGTGTATTTAAGGTGGACACATTTCGATCAGAGCTAGAGAGGACACGAGCAGACAATACTAACCTCCGCCATGAGAGTCAGCAGGTCATGACGAATGTCAACCATTGGATCACTGACCAAAAGTATGAGAATATTATGTTTTCATTATTTTTTATGGCAACTTAATTTTTTTAAAATAGATTTTTTTGGATAGGCCAGCTGAAGAGAGACAGGAAATGTTGGGAGGAGAGAGAGGGGGGATGACATGCAGCAAAGGGCCGAGGCTGGATTCAAACTCACGGCCACTGCAACAAGGACTATCGACTCTGTACATGGGGCACGAGGCTTAACCACTAGGCTACTAGCGTCCGATAGTGACTTCTTAGTGTTTTATTTAATCATTTTATTTGCAGTGTATTTCCATTAGTTTGATTGATGTTGGTACCATAAGGGTAACTGTTGGGTGTTTCCTTTTATAGTTTTTTTCTTCATAAGACTCTGAAAGTCTGTCTTTTTTCTCTCAGGGCCTCCAACTCGAGCCTCACTGCCGAGATGAAGGCCCAGAATAAGCTGCTGCTCATCATCACTGAAGAGAAAGAGTGAGTGCATCCTTCAGAGTTTTGGTAACGTCTTTATAAATGAACATTTTGTTTTTGGCTCTCGCTGTGCGTGTCTCAAAGTGCAGCATATTTGTTTACTTAAAAATTAGAAAATACAGCTAACGGCTAACTCCGTCACCAGTCGTGTGTGTGTGTGTGTGTGTGTGTGTGTGTGTGTGTGTGTGTGTGTGTGTGTGTGTGTGTGTGTGTGTGTGTGTGTGTGTGTGTGTGTGTGTGTGTGTGTGTGTGTGTGTGTGTGTGTGTGTGTGTCTTTATCTGTGCTCAAACAGTGTTGGAGATGTGCTCTTTGACTTACTCACCTCTGACAGTCAATCTGCATGTCTGCTTCATCATGACTCTCTCTCTCCCTCTTTCTCTCTCTCACACACACACGCACACACACACACACACACACACACACACACACACACACACACATACATACAAGAGTACAGACACGGGGCGTGACACACTCCTTTTTCCAGAGATCAAAGGCATCTCGCCATCTTCTGTCATGCTTCCTCCCACCCCTGCAGCGCCATACCTCCCTGAGCCCCGCCCAGCAGCAACACAACTGTCTCTTTTTCTTTATATTCTTTCTTTCTCGACTAACTTACTTTGTGTGTGTGTGTGTGTGTGTGTGTGTGTGTGTGTGTGTGTGTGTGTGTGTGTGTGTAGATCTTGTGTTTTTGTTACGCTAACCTGTTGCTATACTCAAAGTCTCAGAGCTGCGTAAAGTTGTGTTTTCAAAGAAGTTTCCCTCTCTTTTACTTTCAACAGAAATGCGATATCTCTGCTTCCTCTCACTTTAAATACAACAATTTTGTTTTTTTATGTTATAAACTTCAATAAGCAAACAAACAAACAAATTGAAAAGAATGTTTTTTTCATGGCTCTTAAGTCAGAGAGTAAGTTGCACAACAGAATAATGAAATACTGAAATAAAAAGCAACAGGGGTAAGTGATAAGTGGCTGTGGAAATGTAGTGTATCATTATATGGATCAGGATGTGTGTGTGTGTCTGTGTGTGTGTGTGTGTTGTCTGAACTCTTAGTTAAAGGCTCTTTCAGAAGCAGAGCGACACAGACGCCATTGCCGTTGTGTGGCAAGACATTTTGCCTGCTATGTTAACAAGAGTCTCTTGATGATAATGGGTGTCTGTCTGCCTCTCCATGTATATTTCTCCGTTTAACTATGTCGCCCGCTTCTCCCTCGCTTTGGCAGACGTCTTCAGGAAGCTAATGACACGCTGAACGCGGAGGTAAAGAGACTGAAAGAAGTGTCGAACGAGAAGGAGAGAGACATGGAACTCTTCAAGGTAAACAAGTGCAGAGTGGAGATAAAAAAGAAAAAGAAAAAAAAGAGTGGATCACAAAAAAGATTCTTTTTTTTTTTCATTTCATAATTGTTGCAGGCCCGGATCAGAGACCAGGGCGCCCGGCGAGACGACAATGTGTGAGTCATCTGTGTGTGTGTGTGTGTGTGTGTGTGAGAGCGTGACCGTACATATATGGGCATACATTTGTGTGCATCCACCAGCTGATCAGAGTTTAGCATTCACATCCCGTGAAAGACGTTGCCCAGCATGTTTTGCTCTTTCACAACACAATCTAGCCTGAACAAAGCTGATGATGATAATAACAGCTGGAGTGCCAAGTTGTGAATGAAACACCCTGTGGGCTTTGCCACCTGTGTGTTTCCATGCATGTGTGTGTGTCTGTGTAATGTCTCTTCTTTAATCAGAATACGTTATTCATGCTGGGCCTTTAACAATGATTACACTCCAATCAACAGCCCATCCTCTCCTGCTTGCCCCCCCTCATGGCTGTCAAGTAGCATTCATCAATAGAGAGGAGATATATTTATTATGTTCATTAAGGCCATTAAAATGAATGTGGCACAGATGGGATTGGGGTGTAGGATGGAGGAGAGAAAAGGAGGGTGTGTATGTGTGGTAGAGGGTGTTTGTTGGGGGGGGCACCTGCCTGTGGCAGTATACTCCCCATATACCCCCAGTGTGACCCCCTGAGGTCTCCCTCATTAACACCCCCCCTCCCTCCCCTCTTTCCCACCTCACACACGTTCACACACACTCATGTTTGCGCCCCTCCCCAAACGAACATCCACACTGTTTTCCAAAACGGATCAGATTTGTTTTGACGGGGGTTGGTTTCCAAACGCCATTCAAAGCTGTCAGTCATTTTAATGATATCATTAAGGGGCCGCGACAGAAAGATGAATCACTTCTCTTTGTCTTTCGCTCATAATTGCGAATGAGCAAGAGAGAGAGAGAGAGGGGCAGAGCGAGGCAGTTCATATGGATGTATGCATAAGAGGGGTTTTGATTGAGCGAATATAATAACATGGAACGAGATAAAAAACAGTGAATGAAAAAGCCTCTTCCATGCATCCTCCCGATCCATCCTCTGTCTTTATTATGAGGATTCCTAATTTATTTCATTTCATTATTGCCCCCCCCCCCGCTTCCCATACACACCTACCCAAAACGCCATATGTATGAAAATCACAGATCTATAAGACAACAGATATGTCATGATATTTGCATGGCAGCCATATACATTCAGTGTATAAATCTCATTACTGGTGGCAAAGGGGATATCTGCTCAGTGTCTCTGCGCTGTCACTATCACTGACAGCGATCAACACGCTGTGAAGGTTTTGTCATTAGATATGCCTTTATTAAAGAAATGTATTATGATTACACAGCCTACTGTTCCCTGAAGCAGCAGGAGTCTGGTGGCCTCACACTGTGGGGTTGACATTTGCACTGCAGAAAGGTGAGGAAAAGATAAAGGAGAAGGGTAAGAATTGAGATTCATAAGGTCATATTTTAGTTGTAAAAGTTGTTTAAGGAGAAATAAAAAGGTACACCACCACTAAGTTCAATCAAAAATAATGCTGTTTTATTGATTATTTCCAAATGAAATGTCGACTCACAAGTTTCATGAATCGGTCGTAACACTGCTTTTGTGTTCTGCTAATTGTAAGGCTTTGGCCAAAATATACTTGTTTTAGCAATGTTGCTGCAATTAAGAGCATAAAATGTAATCAGAAAGTGAGAATGAGAGCCATTTTCTCTAATAATTCTGGGCTCAAACCGGTGCATGAACAGTCCAGACAGCAGAGACGAGAATCAGGAAGCTGAAACCTGGAGCCCACACATAACAAGATTTTAAATCGGAGTAGCATGTGTTACGCGGCCCTGTTCTCTCTGGTTCTCTCTGGTTCTCCCTCGCCCTGATGCACACCTGTTCTCTCTCTCGCCTTGATTCTCCCTCCTCTTTCACCTGCTGCACACCTGATTGAAACCTGTGCTCAGGGAGGAGGAGGAGGAGGAGGAGTAGTAGTAGTATTCAGAGGCGCCAGGTAGGAGAGACTGGGCAAACAGGCTCAGGGCAGCAACGTGGTGAAATGTTCAATAATGCTCAGGGTGACATCTGTGTGCTTATATGTTTTGGGTCTCCATGTTTTGAGCCTCGATTTTTCTTATTTTGTTTAAGGAGGCCGTAACAGCATGTAACATTTCAACACAAAGAACATCTTTACCCGAGTAAAACTTTAGTTGTTGCCATGTGAGCTGTTTAGTTTGTGGTCCATTTATGGAGCTTTTAAGCATCTCTTTGTTATTGCATTAAGATTAAGATTTATCTTTATTGTCATTGCATGATATACAATGAAACTCAGTTGAAGCAATCCTGTTTGCAGTATATAAAATATATAAAATATAAGATAAGTACACATACACATACACAAACGAACTCCTTCTCCAGGGAGAAAGGTCTGACTTTTTTTTCTTAGAATCTGTAAAAGTATGGTTGGAAACTAGAACTATTATCAGCAAAATCTACAAATGTAACATGCCAAGAAATTCAAAGACACAATGAAGGCCTGGCCCTTCAAAAGCCCTCAGGTCATGATCGTATTTACATTGTTCATTGCTTCTCCAAGATGCTTCTGCAGGTGTTTTGTGGTATTTTTCAAACACTTACCATTGCTTTGTACAGGTTTAACCTCTTCCATTGTGTTTGTCCTCCACATGTATGTAACATAAGGCACAAGAAGAAGACACAGCCCATATGATTCAAATATGGCTGTTGTTTCTTTATTGGTTCAGTATTTGTGAGGTACAACAAAAAGCTTTTGTAGGTTTTGTTCTGAAAACCAAATGAGTTTCAATTTGAGGAAGAGAAAATGCATCTTGTATCGTGTGTGTTTCTCAACAGTGAATATATGCCAGTCCATATTGCATATGATCAAAATACTCATATTTACCTCACAATATCAGAGAGGTTATCTATTAATATAAAAGTTTCACTCCACATTCAAAAGCACTAAGTGGCAAAAGGAGAGATTGCTGCTGTTTGCTGCTCCTGTCTGGCACAACCCATGTGGGGGAAGCGCTCATAAGGCATCAGGCTTCATCAGTCGCACCACTAACAATGTGCTTCCAATTAAGAGCAGCCAGTGATCACAGCAGAAGATCAGTACAAACACAGAGAAGTGAAATGACAGAGAGAAACAGAAAGAGAAGAGAAGAAGGCGTCTGTGTGAGGAGACAGACGAGTCTTGCATAAAATCAGAGATGAGAGCAGTAAATAAGAAAGATGAGAGCGAGCTTGGAGCGGGAGAGAATCCATGTAGTTTATTGCCTGGTTTAGAGAGCATGGCAGCTTGGCTCTGACACTAATGAGTGTAATTAGACACACACTGATTGGGTTAGGCCGCTAATTACACACATCCGTGTTTGCGTGTAAACACAGGAACACATGTTTACACAGGCGTCGTGCCAAGTGCTCAGCGCATCGCTGCCTTCTCACATCGGGTGCATAAATCTCACACAGTTGTCTCAGCCGCGATGATGTTTCATGATCTGCTGAGGACCGCATTAACATCCAGAAAAGAGTTTAAATCATGGCAGGAATCTGTGGGATGTGACACTTTGGATTTTATAGAGTTGGCTTGTGCTTTCAGGGAATGTTTTTTTCCACCACTGTAGCAATGGGAATTCATGGAATGTATCTCGTATAAGGCATTTATAATTTTAAAGATCAAAGGGAGTTTCAGCATTTCTTTCTATTAATGCTCTTTGTATCATCATTATGGTGTGAAATTAAAAGATTCAGAAAGGTCAGTTGCAATTATGTTCACTTTATGAATGTCATTTTTCAGGAAATGAAGTTTCTTTAAAAAAAAAAAAGCTAACATCAGCCGAGCTTAATTATTTTGTTGGTTGATAGACAGTGAGGCAGATTATGTTCTGTGAACTGGTGTATGTATGTTTTTCTCACAAGAATTCCTCATGGTTCTTTTTCTGTTTCTACCTGCAAGTATATATATAAATGGGTTTTTTTACGCATGCATTTTTTTATTTTGTCTTGTGATTATTATGTGTGGCTGCATGGTGGTTAGCTCTGTTGCCTCACAGCAAGAAGGTAGCTGGTCCGAGTCCCCGACCGGCTTCATCCAACAGTCCAAAGACATGCTCGTTAGGTTAATTGGTGACTCTAAATAGCTTGCAGAAGCGAGAGTGTTCTGCGACCTGTCCAGGGTGTACCCCACCTCTCATCCAATGACAGCTAGGATCGGCTCCAGCCACTCGCGACCCCGAATGGGAGAAGCGTTATAGATAATGGACGGATGGATGGAATTCATATATGATTACAACTTGGCGTGCACCATTTGAAAAAAATATGCTGTGTGCAATAACATTTTTTTATAATTCAATAATGATATGAAGTGAGATATGCATTTAAGAGTAGATAAAAGCAATGACACAGTTTTAATAACTATCTGCTTTTCTTCATAGTGCACAGGACTCGCTCCTTGCTCGTGCATGATAAATAAGAGTTCTTATTTCATGGGGTGAATTCAGACTTCTCAGTTGTGTTTTTATTGGTAATGCTCGTATTGAGATGATGAAATTCTGATTAAACGGCCTGTCCTTATCGAAATAGTATTAGTACTGGATCCTACACCGAAAGGCCTAAAAATGAAAATACACAATTAATGCATATCAGCGCTTCACTGTATGATTGTATTTATTGTTTAGAACATTGTTGAAGTCCTCAAGGTTTCATCATTATTTTTGAAAGTACTCAAACACTAGGCCTTGGGTTTGTTGGAGTTTTGATGCAGTGTGGTCACTGTCTCCTTTGTTTATGTTTTTTTTGTCAACATCTCTGGGTCCAGGTTTAGCATGGAGGCTAACAAATACATGGAAGCTGAATTCTTTCACTAATGACTCTCATAAAATTTTCAGACAGAAATGTCAGATCACATATTAGCATCAGCCTCAAGTGTCTTCTCACATCTTAAATGTTTTAAGTCATGGCTAATAGGGCCAAAAGTTTCTGTGTGTGTATGTGTGTGTGTGAGTATGTGAGTATGTGTGTGTGTGTGTGTGTGTGTGTGTGTCCCAGCTCACCCCCATCTACAGGAACAATGATGCCATTTATTAGCGTTTGGATGAGCGTGCGCGTCAACTGAAGCAAAACGGGACCGTCTCTCCATCCGCTGCTCTGATAGAAAATCCCAGCTTGCTCTTTTAAAAGAAAATTAGCATTGGGGAGGTACAGTGGTACTTTAATGGGCTAAGAAGTCTTCAATAAAGTATTTAGAAGCTTTTTTTCCCCCCGAATGCTAACTGGACAGGTTCACTGGGGCATGAAAGAAAGAGCGTAAAGCGGGGGCAGCGAGCTCTTCAGCCCGCACAGAGCACCATTATCCACCGTCGTTAATTTAATAGACATTCCTTAGTCAGCCCTGAGTCTGAAGATAGCAGACCCGAACATTTGTTTGTCATTTCCCCAAACGTTTTTAATAAACAGTTAAAATCTTAAATGGCGTCTTGTACTCTTAATGTTCCCTGGCTGCGGTTGTGTTCGTTTTGTTTTCGTATTTTCTCCCCTGGTTTATATGCGCTTTCATATATCATTTAATGATTTCTGGAACCCATTTGCTCACCCATCTTTGAGTTTAGTAATAAGTTATAATGAAGACGGTTATAATGAAGATGATGCACTCCAACTTCTTTATGCCCCAGATTCTGAGGACATTTGATTGAAACAGGCTCGTCTTTCAAATGCAGACTTTTATACAGAGAAACCAGGAGTTTCAGATGTAGAAGGTTTTGTTAATATGCACAATAGCAGCTTCAATCAGACGCTGCAAGTCAGAGTACATTTTCTGTTTTCTTTAGGTGCACAGATTTAGTGAAAAAAGGAGGTAAATTCTCATCTATGTGCTTTCATTACAGACTGGAGAAGCAGGGTTGTGTGGCTCGAAATCTCTACAAAATCGAGGACATGCAGACCAGACTGAGAGGCAACCTAGAGGCCATCGGAATGCTAAATCAACAAGTAAGAGCGCGCACACACACACACACACACACACGGTCCTCGCAGTCCTTTTACCCGACAGATACAAACACCCACACAACGGCCCACCTGCTGTTGAGCTCACACAGAAGAGGAAGCTTTCATGCGTCCAACTTCAAACGCACACGCGCACTTACACACAGGCGCACGCAGACATCCATTTCCTCTTCCTACGATAAAAGTGAAAGTCGGCAGAGAGGGTGGGGGGGTGCAGCGGGGGGGAAGGGGGGGACAAATCGTATCGGGAAAAGGCAGTGACGTTTCTTTCCACTGGTAAATGATTTCCCTTTCATGAGACTGAGGGAGGGATGTATATCAATACAGGCGTGCTGATCTCTCCCTGACAGCGTAGGGAAATGGCCCGCTGTGATAAAACAATGTGGGGGGAAAAAACACAGAGGAATATTCTGAGGAAAAGCTGACATTTTTTTTTTACTTGTGTTGAACTTCACAAGAGTCAACAAATCACCAAAGGAGAGACAAATCAAAAGTACTCCTCAGCCCCCTCAGTTCTCCAAAAACTCCAGGGCCTGGAGAACGGCTCACCCCACTTTTGCGAGTCTGCGGAACGGCCCCGCTGATTGACGGGGCTACGACGAAAGCTGGAACTTGTTGAAGTTTTTATGTAGTGTTGCTTCCGTGAAAAAAGCAGATGGCATTAGCTGCATGCAACGAGGCAGGGGAAGGTAAGAGCGGTGGAAGAGAGAGGTGGGGGAGAAAGAGAGAGGTGTTGTTTAGCAGGTCAGGTGTGTAATAGCACCTCTTAATCTCTAGTGTGAATCATTACACATATCGATCCAACATGGACGCTCTACACACACAAACATACAGGAACAGGTGGAGAGGATGGGATATAGACAGTTCATTTACACAAAGCTGTTTCCCTCACTGTCCACTGGAAACACACACACACACACACACACACACACACACACAGTGCATAGGCTGAATGTAACATGTCACTTTCTCTATGTGAAAGGCGTCTGGTTATAAATCAGGTCTGTGTCTCTGCTTCACATCTGTCTCATTTACTCATAGTCACAAACTGACACAGTGCCGCGGCTCTCTCACTCACCCACAGGCGCATATTAACACGGGCTTTACGACACACGCACGCATGATTTCCATCCCACTGTCAAGCAAATTTCACGCAAACTTTTTGAAATGTCACACAAAATCAGATGCAAATTAAGTGATTTTCCATCAACTGGTATGATTATAAACTTCGGGGGGAAAAAAAAAATGCTGAGATTCTCTCAAGATGTTGATTAGGCATTAGGCAAGCTGTTATTGTGATTCAGAGTCAGCAAATGTCCAGGTTGTTTCATGCTCGCTAATGTGAAGAGGGATGCAAACAGGCAACACACCGGCTCATCCTCCTTTAGAAGAAGCTGAGGCAACTGATGGATTGACAAGTTTTGCACAACGTTGCAAAGGGAATTCTTTCTATATTTGTTTTTTGTTTTTTTGCGATTGTTTTGGGAGGGCATTTTTGCCTTTAATTGATCAGGACGGCTGAAAAGAGAAACGTCGGGAGGAGAGATTGGGGGATGACATGCAGCAATGGGCCGAGGTCAGAGGACTACAGCCTCTGTACATGGGGCGCACTGCATAACAGCTAGGCTATGAGGCCCTCCTTTATTTTTGCTTTTAACGGGGAAATAATACAACACCAACAGAGCCAAAGCTTCATTACAAAATGTGAAACTTTTTTTTGCTGACAATAATGAATTTGCTGTCACTATTAAGCCTCTCCTAGCTCTTTAGTTTCCCTAATTTCCATAAATATTTGACTGAAAAAAACGGCTTTTCAAATAAAAAAAGGGCAAACTCTCATGAAGAAGAATAAACCACCCCCCCTTCTGTGTCTTTCTGCCCGTCTCTTTTCTCTTTCTGTTCTCCCCCCCATTCATACACATCCTTTTCATCTGAACATGTGCACACCAGTTCACTCGCAGTGTGTGAGGGGATGAGGAGACAAGCTGTGATTTTTTAATTTCACCCCCCTCTCTTGCAATTAGGGAAAAGCATCCAGAGCATCCAAAGAAGAGGAAAATTAAACAGGTCTCTTTGAATATGCGGTTAATTACAAATGTCAACCTCAGTGTTTTTCATCAAGAACTTCTATTGCTTTTGGTGGTAACGTAAAATGAACACGTTTTTATGATGTTTGCCTGTTGAAGATAGCAAATACTGCTTAAGCATCTTAAGGAGAGTTGTGACACTTCGACATGTCATATGCTCTTCCAGGGTTAAGCCTAAGATGTTGCTATTTAATACACATGCTTAGATTTAGTGTGTGTGTGTGTGTGTGTGTGTGTGTGTGTGTGTGTGTGTGTGTGTGTGTGTGTGTGTGTGTGTGTGTGTGTGTGTGTGTGTGTGTGTGTGTGTGTGTGTGTGTGGTGTGTGTGTGTGGTGTGTGTGTGTGTGTGTGTGTGTGTGTGTGTGTGTGTGTGTGTGTGTGTGTGTGTGTGTGTGTGTATCATGTCTGGAAGGGTAACATTACCAGAAGAGTCCGGAAATGTGTCTGTCTCATCTGCGTTTGTGTTTTCTCCCTCGCTCAAACACACACAGACACTTTTGTACACACACACATGGCCAGACATGTCGATGTGACATCATTCTTTAACCACAGCTCTCACACAGACGTACGCACGCAATAAAAAAACAGATGTGGATGAGTGCAACTGTCATTACCCGACGTGTCTCTTTGTCCCTCCATCCTTTAATTTCTTCTTCTACTCTTCCTCTCAGCTAAAAATACATCATTTCAAATCCTTTTTTTTCTCTTTTATCTGTCTTATTACAATCTTTAGCCTGCCACATTTTTGCATATAATTATACCACGCTGTACAACAAAATGTAAATGCTAATAATTCTGGTTGCCTTTAAAAGCCACTTTTTAACTCACCCTCCTCTGCCTTTACCCAAAAAGTCCTTGTCAAAAAAAAAAAAAATGAAACACCCTCAATGTAGCGCGTCTGTAATTGTGTTTCAGGGAGCCCAATCATGTTCCGACGACGTACGATTTGTTTTGAGTCACGGGTGATTTTGTGTCAAATCGACCTCTAATGATGGCTCAAATTGGCTGTTTTCATGTCGAAATTTACACCCTCGCATGACTCCCACTTGCAACCATTTCAAACTGTGAACACAATACTCTTCTAAATCCCGCTCGCAATTTTCCATTTGCATTTCTCTTTTTTTTTTTTTTTTTTTTCCACAGGCATGAAAGTAACTGTGAAAGATGAATTAAGCTTGTAATGGGATGTCAGATACTTCGTCAGCTTGATTGCTGTTGACTTTTGATGGTTGATATTTGCTGGTAACTTCAAATTATTGTTATTATTATGTTGATCAAACTTAATTAATACAACCTTTGAAAACTTCAAATTCCCCATACCTCCTTGTGCCTGTGCCTTCTGTGTCACACTGTGTTCACACGATGTATAAGTTACTCTCTTCTCTCTGTGCATATGTCTCTCTCTGTCTTCCTCCCTGCAGTTAAACGCCCTCAGCAAGGAGAACAAGCGCTTGCGTAGGCAGCTGGAGGAGGAGAGGTCCATGCGTAGACAAGCAGACAAGCAGAGCTCCTCCATCCGCCTCCCCCTTTCCCTCAGTGCCCATCCACCTCCTCCCTCCGCCTCCTTACCCTCATCCCTCCGATGTCCTCCTCCCCTGAGCTCGGACACAGTGACAGGGGACGTTCTAACTCAAGCCGAGCTGAGCGGCGCTGGCCCTGAGAGACCAGGTGAGTCTCAGGCTCTGGGTAAAGGGTTCTGGAAAAAGGCCGACTGGCCTCCTGGAAAGAAAAAAAAACACTCGCGTCTGGGAGAACAAGCAGAGACCTGATCAAATGAAGCCCCCTGAAGACTTTGACCTGTCATGACTTTGTGACCTCCAGCTCCTCACCAGGGAGCATACACAGTATGAGGTTAATGTCCTGCAGGTCAAAGTCAAGTCCCAGGGTGCTCTTTGCCTGAGGGCCTTTAGAATCAGCGGATGATGGAATTTCATCAAATCATCAAAAATATCACATCTGCTGTAGCATAAGGACATTAACCTCAGGAAAAAATTAACATACTTATTATACATTCAATCTTACATTGAAGCATAAAAAAAACCTCAGATGATTTCACCGCTATAATGTTGAAATGCTCTGAGAAGGTGTAGCGTAAAAACATTCTTCAAATAATGGTCTTATTTTTTTAGCACTTAGCATGATAGCATTTACCTGACTCTGCCTTTATTTAAAAAACCCCAAACAGTTCTGATGAGCTGTGATCAACTCTTCATCGTGATGAATTGGTCTAACACTGGAAATAGTCTTTCTTTATAAAAACGAGGGCCAGCACATCATCAGTATCCACAGACATGCCTCAGATGTGGATGTGATTGGCAGTAACACCGTCTCCGATTACGCTGCAGCTGTGCGCCATGTGTCCTGTCTCTGCTGCGGTGAATGTGGCCGTGTGTCTTTATATGTGAGCACATTATTTGTCTGTGTGCTTCTGTCTCTCTGTGTGACTGACTACATTAGACGTACATGCTGTTTGTGTTTTGTTTTATACTTACAGAAATATATTTATTGATTTTTTTTTTTTCCCATGGTTGCCGCGTTTGAGCCCTCTGCAAAATAAAAACAAAATAGATTTCTAAGCACTCGGTACATTTCTCCACTTTTTTATCTGATCTTTGAATGTGCTAACTATATCTTCTAATAGGAGCTGCATCAACATTCCTGTGCAGCGAAAGCCTTTTAAAAAGGGGGTTGATCGAGGGACAACGGCATACTCTCGCCTTATTGACCTGAAGTCTTTTCATCCGTATCTACAGGTGACCTATGGCTCTTACTGCGGTTACACAAGCAGACAAAAGGAAGCATGCAAATATCTGAAGTGAAACAGAAGAAGCCTTATACTGTGATAATGAGAATTCTTGGGAAAGCAGGTCTCAGACCACAATTTCTTCCTCAGCTGTCCTCCCCCCACCTGTCTTCCAAAACCCCCTTTTATTGTATTCTTCATTGCCTCTGTACATATACATAGCCGTTGTATAGCTGGTCAGGATGTCGTACATTTTAATGATTTAGAACCGAGCTGCAAGTCCTTGTTAGCTTGGTTTTCCTCATTTGCCGTGTCACACTCAAAAATACCCTTCTTTTATCTGCAAACACACATGCATGCACCCACTCACACATCTACAGGCATTTATATTCTTTGGCAAACACACACACACACACACACACTCTTACACAAACGGCACAGTCATTAAAAATGAAACCACAGGCTTTTTGAAAACTCCCAGGACTGAGGGAAAAGTCAGCGGCGCAGCGGTGAAAAGAGTCCCCCTGGAAACAATGAGGAGAATGATCATTTGTTGTTCTTGAAAACCCGGTGAGGTTTCACAGAGGTTAAGCTTCCCTTTGATGTGTTTTTAACTCGTTTCAGCTCTGTGGAGGGATTAGTCAGCCTCTCACACAAACACAGACGCACACATTGGCACACACACACACACACAGAGGCACATACAGGCTCTTAATTTCCACACCATGAGCTCTTCTCTCACAAAGGAGGAAAGCACAGAACAGGCTCCTTCCTAACCTAATTTCATCAAATGAGAGTGGGTGGTACTTCACTGCTGTATGTGTGGTCCCTTGAAAATCTGTGGTGTACCAGCAAAATATTGCAAGTCAGTGTTTTTCTTTTTATCCCAAATTAGCGTGAGGCTGTTTGTGAACAGTGTGGGCCCTCAACCACGAGAGAGAGATGCAGAAAGAGAGACAGAGTAGCTGTTGATCATCACTGTGCTCATTACAGTGTTTACGAGGCATTATTTGATCCTTTATTTCAAGATACAAATGGTTGGAGTGCTTGTGCCTATAATGTGTGAGTGTGTGTGTGTGTGTGTGTGTGTGTGTGTGTGTGTGTGTGTGTGTGTGTGTCTGTGATTTGTGTGTGTGTGCATGCTAGCAGCTCCACTTTGCACTTCCCTGTAGGTCTCTGTGTGGTTGCCCGTGCTAATAATGACACAGAAAGCTGGGATTCATGGTCTGAGCAGCTCTGCAATAAAAAAGTGTTGATTTGAGTCTTAGTGTTTGTTTTAACCAACTTGGCGTACCACATGGGTGGAGACAGACCATACAATAGTCATACTCAAGGATGATTTGCCGTAAAAATAATAAATCCATCAAGAAAAGTCATTTACAGGAGTATCTTAACATTTCAGAGATGCATAATTACCTTTGAAAAGAAACCCATTCAAGTAAATACATGCAGTACATTAACCTCAAACTAAATGGGATTGTTTTACTTTTACTTGATGTAAAAATCTTAGATCCAAAATGATGATAAGCATTACACAGTTCAGCTCTTTCTTTTTGCATGTTGGACCCCCTTAATGCAACAATACTAGAACTAGAATAAGCTTTTTACACATGTTGTACCTCCATGTATTATTAACAAGTTCCTAATGATCATTGTAACACTCACAAAGCAAACCTGTTTCTGTAAAAAGCAAAAGAATTCAAGCAAAAAAACGTTGGTCTAAACATAATCTATGTGCTGTCAATGTAGAACATGTCCTTATATAACAAACTATATATTCAACACCTGAAACAGTCCTTCTGACCATCTCAGTGTTCTGTCTCACTGTTGAAATGTGGTTCAGTGTGAGAGGCGGTTCTGTCACAGAGCAGCAACACAGGGTGAGAAAGAACTCAAAGTGACAGGAGTGCTGGCAACATGTCTCCACTACAAGTTAGGTCACCTGAGAAGAAAAGTGAAAAACAAAAAACAAGACAGTTATTCAAACAATGTTTCACTTTAAAAGCTGATTTGTTTCTTGTTGTGACGTGGTTTCTTTTTATAGACTTTACGGCTACACTTTAGCGAAACCTGACATCCTGTTTGAGAATTGAGGCTGCAGGCGGAGATTCTTTACATTCTTAAATACTGTACAAGTACACCTCTGTACTTTCCACCCTAAGATCACACACACACACACACACACACACACAGACACACTTATTATAGTGAGGGAGATCACACTGGTCACTCAGTGAGTGTGGGGAAGTAATTATCTCAGTGCAGTGTCAGGTGTGTGTGTGTGTGACTGATTGACCCTGATTTGGTCCAGGTGTGTTAAGGTTATATATATCCTTGAGTAGCAGCACTCAGTGTTGGCTCATTGTCTCACCTTCAGAGACAGTGAGAGGTTCTCGCTGTGGTTCTTGTGCACTCTAGAAGTGTGTGATTCTGCATAAGCATCACATGACTTCTTTCTTCTGTGTTTTGCTGCATTGATGTGGGGTCAGAAACATCGGAAAAAAACAAGTTTCCGAGTTGTAAAATGCACATGAACACCTGCAACAACAACTCGGAAAGACGGAAAAGAATAATGTGCCAGACTTCCCGATTTGACGTCAGAATCGTCGTCAAATGGGGGGTAAAACATATTTTGTCAATGTTAACATACTTTTTATTAATTCAAGTGTTGCACATCAACTTTTTGCTCAAATTGAACTTTTAACAGTTACAGTTCACTGAGCTTCTTCTTCGTAGTGTCAGTGTTTTTTTTTTTTTTTTTGTGCTGTTGTTACAACATTCAGACTTTCCGAACTGAAGTCAGGAAAACTACTTCCCAACTCGGAAACTTGGATTACCCGAGCAGCACCTGAATGCAGCATTAGCTTAGCTGTTGTTTGTCGATGTGGGATTTCTGACCCGGCTTTTTTTGTTTCTTTGTAATCACGGGCCTGGTGGCCTTTGTGTCTCTGCTGTTTTCTTGGGTCTCCCCTTTAAACCAGTTTCTTGTCTGCTTGTTGGAAGAGGTGTTTTTCTGCTTCTCCTTATCTCAGGGCTTTTTTTTTTCGAAAAGGGAGTCTATTTGTTAGGCTTGTAAGTATTCTATTTTTTTGCCCCTCTTTTTTTCAATCACTTGCGGTTTAGTGGTCCGCAATTGTGTCCCACTTCTCTCCTCTCTTACAATGATTTACTTTTTGTATTTCCTATTGTCAAATATTTCTAAATCAATCAAGACAAAATTATATTTGTAATCCATTAGAATATTTCCTCTGCAGCATACAATGAACAGCATTAACGCTCAATTTCAACGTTTTCTCACTCCTTAACTGAGAGCATCAAAATGTGCACTGCTATCCAAGGACATAAAACACCAATTGTTGTAAATTCACCTAGTTTTTCATTCAGGTATTTTCACTTGGATCGCCTGCAGCTGCACAGACAAAATGTCACTGCTCTCAAGTCAACATTGCATTCCTGCACAAAACATTTGTCTTTATATTTATTGTTAAGCTCTGCCAACAGGGATGCATTTGGTTTCTTGCACATGCAGGATCATACAGTATACATCTGCTACATGAAAACAATGGAATAAAAACCAACTTAACATTAGAGTACATAGCTCAGTGTTCAGCCATATTAAGTGTAATGATTTCATTTGCAGTATTTGTAGCTCTATAGAGATTGGAACCCTTTGCCAAAATCAAGTTTATTCTTAGGCTCTTCCTTTAAAAACACAAGACCACAAACAACAAATGTAAACTCAAATATCCCAGTGGAGGACTTGAAACGGTCATTACTAACACTACTTACTCCACTCTCATGCCCATGGTTTAGTTTGAAGAAGAATAAAGAGTTTCCGGAGATAGTTTCTCATTGTTCGTGAAAGACCTCTTTTAACAATTGTTTTTTTTGTCAGTTTTCAGAGTTGGTGTCTGTGTAATTGTGTCTGTGAGTTTGGTGTTTAATGGGATATGGGTACACTGCGTACTGGATCCAAGTTCAACTCTGATTGGCTGCAAAACGAGGACACAATGCTTTTTGAGTTATGCTGCCTGCCTGGTAAACTGGCTGATCAGAACAGTGTTTTTAATTGACAGGAGAGGGATTTTCTCGCCGTCTACCAATTTGGAGATTATTTTATACAGTTGCAAAAAAAAAAGACCAACAATGCATTGGCTGCGATAGTTAAGACGTTTTTTGTCATTTTTTGAGTTGAGTGGAGTTGTGGGGGGAATTCATGACAGCACACCTGAGCCCTTTTCACACATGAACTCCTGACAATGTCTAGAACATTTAGGGACATCATGCCCCTGAAATCTAATAATTAGAGTAATTCTTTGACACATGTCCCTCACAGTGGTAGATGTTACGTTTCCAACAGGACAAGTGTATAATGCAGACAGCAGAAAAAGAGGACACTGAGAGTTTGTGTAAAGTTTATAACATATCCAGGATGAAGCAGGCGAAGCAACACAGTCCGACACTATAATGACAGTTTTTCTTTCTTTATAGTAGTGCTACGTGTAATTGGATGTATTCACAGTATCAACATGAGAGTTAGAATGAAGTAGCTTCATTACATGCAGACGGGTTGTTGTCATCTATTGCATACCTGGCTCACACATCGGCTCTACCCGACTTCTTGCAGACTTTTTACTAACAGGACTGGCAGGAATAATCTTTGATAAAGTCGGATGTATTTTTAACGTTTTGCACTCATACAGGCAGCTCACCATGAAAAACTTGGGAAACTGGTTAGTGCACGTGTGATTAAGCTACTAGAGAGGAGTTGAAACATAACATGCTGATCTGATCCATGAACAGTGTGATCATTTTGCCTGAAGTTTGTAATGT